ACCCTTGGCGACGCCGTGGCTCCGTCCAACTTCTTGGTTTGCCGATCTTGGCGCCGGATGGAATGCTGTCCGTTTCGGAATCGGCCTGGGACCGCTGAGCCAACTCGACTAATTGTGTCCTTACGCTGGAGTATTCCGGGGACTGGGCGGTCCAATCGGCCGACATGTCCTTCGCTGAGACCCCTTGCATGGCCCGGATGGAGGGGAACGCAGCGTAAGGTACGGTTGGGACAGCACGATGCCGTGTGCCCGTCTGAACTATCCGTACAGGCAGCATGTAAGCTTCCTTTGGCGAGGGAGGTTATTAGTCGGTTCAAACCGAAGCGCGGTTCCAGATGGCTGGGTTTCGGCTGCTATCAGTGCTCTCTGGTCTGCCCTATGTTGCGACGCTCTTTACGCAATGCCTTCTAGAAAGCAGAGAAAGGTTACCCCGGACGATAGATTGGGATCATCGAGATGCGCTTCAAGATGGGCAGCCTGGGTTACACTGTGGAGGAAATTGAAGGGGACAGGCTCGAAAGTGTAAAACACAGCTTTGTGTATCAGTCTCTATCGACATTGATTTGCAGTTCTCGAAGTCATTTTGATATCTCGTTATTGTGTGTCTGGATAATGCTGTAATCTCTAAACTGTTGAGGTCGTCCATGTATCCGTAGACGGGCGAAAGCGCACCGTCTTCAGGTGGAAGTATTGGCCGAAATGGGACAGCGGAGTGTAGGACCTCTTGTCCAGGCAGCCTGGTTTGCTCGTTAGATGGTGGCAGAGCGGCAACACTCAGAGGCCCGTTTGGGACATCTTGAGCAGATCCAGTTAATCAAGGCTGGCCAATCTGGAGGCAGCCATCGCGGATCGTTGCTGTCTTGGTCCTCAGGATGATGGCCGGGCGGGTGGTGCAGCAGGCCGGTCAGGTTGCCAAATCCACCGCCCATCACACTGGCATCCACTCGATTGGCGAACAACGACTTGTTCAGTGTTCACTTGGAGCACAGTATGAAGGGTCTTCGTTCCAGGTTTGTCTTTGTCCGAGAAGTTCTCCCAGACCGTTGCTCCGTCTCTCCCCGCACTACAGGAAGGACCCTTTACCGCCGAGAGTTGAGATGGCATGCATCCCAGGACTCGGCGAGACAAGATAATTTCTGCAACTGTCTTTGCTCTCGTTGCTCTTGTGAGGGAACACAGCGCGAGAGGAATCATGTGTCGCGGAGACAGCCGGTCGTGTTCTATTGGCTATTGAATTTCCGGATGCCAGTCCGTCTTTTCGGGTCGCAGATAAAGGTGGCTTACTCGAGCACGAGGTTTTCAGGCCGACAGGGTCTTTGAAAAGAAGACATCGCGCTGTGTGGCACGCAGCTTGCTGGTTGTTTGTCCGCCGGAATTGCTTTTGGGGCGCCCAAATGGCCCCCAGCGCCGGATAACCCGAGTTCCTCATTGTCTTGGACTCCCTATGCGTGGTGGTGAGGGACGACCACCGTGTGTGTGCGAGCGAGCGAGTGTCTTTCGCACGCTACTCATCTGGATCGCTATGTGGGTTCAGACCAGGAGTTGGAGAGTCAGGATGCGAGGTGTTTTCAGGTCAACACGACACAGAGAGCAAGGGTCCAGTCCAGACTCCCAGAGCAGCAGTTCAGAGCCAAGGTGCCATTCCCCTACTAACGAATTGTCAGCCCGTGGTAAACCGTAAAAGTTAGTTCCCGCGTAGTTAAGGTAGGTTGCAGACTCCGTATCCAGGGACCAGCCAGCAGGTTAAGCCAAACCTTGGCCTGATGACTTTGCAATGTGCACTGACAAGCTCTGTGAGTGCATATCGTCTACGTAAGGCGCGCGTAGGGTGCCTTGCAAGTTGGGACGAGTGACTCTAGTGTAGACGTGCTCTTAGCTCCGATCATTTTGATCTATCGAGAAGATTGAGTGTCGGAATCTGGCTTGTCTGGGTTGCATGTCGCCTATTAGCCCGAGCTTTGTCGGCTAGTCGAACCGGGGAAGTCCTGACAGGTGCAACACACGACACGATCAGGGAGACGTGGACGGTGAGAGTGTGGTGGAGACCGTAGATGAGGTTGAAGTTGGTAATACCCTATGACAGCCTGAGGCACATAGTAGCAGTCGGTGACAGTCGCATCCTTTCTGCATGTTGTAGAAATGTTCGGTCTGTTCGGTGGCGAGCCGCAGTTATCTTTGGACCATCTGTCTGTGAGCATTGTGGTCGTCTGTATGTTGAAATTGGCTCGAGAATCGTCCGAGACGAGAAGGGCCGGTTGTGGTGGCATTAGCGTACCGAGGTACTTCCGGATGGGAGAAAAAGCGTGCGTTCAGGATAAAGATACGTACCGTGGCAAGAAATACGTACCGATCACACCGTCAGACGTGCCTTCCATGTTCTGAGAACAGTGTGATGTCATTGTTTCCAGCACGCACCGTATCTAGGCCCGCGCAGCCGGCAGCAACTGGGGACGTCCCAGGTGTGGGGTCAGCCGTGGACCCGAAATGGGCGAATCCCAGGGGCGGAAAAAAGGAAGACCTGCTTCGTGCGAGCACGTACACTGTCACACTGTGAACAAGGGCTGATCCATGATGAGCATGTCTCTTGTCCCCATCGCAGCTTGTCCACTTTCAATGCAACCACAGTTGGCACAGGGTCAGCAAACTGAGCCACCTCCACCACCAAACTGCGCGAAGACTGAAGTTGAACGAACTGGGACCTCGAATTCGACAATTCGCGACTCGGCGACCAGGGGCTGGGGTTCATTGACAGTCCAGGGCTGCCAGATTGCCCCCCCCCCTTTGGTCCTTTTACCGTGTTTAATGAGGTTTCCGGGTTGCAGATTCGCATGCACAGCAGCACAGCACTATGATCACCATTCACATTTCCCGCTTCTCACGCGCTGCTTCAGCCCTTGGGCCTTGAGATTCAGGATTCGGGGCTTCAGGCGTCAGGCTTCTCCCCCGTCCATCGCCTCGCCCTCCGCCCGCCGCCCCACGGCCCAGGTCGCTTTTCTGCTTCCTGGCAGCTCCTTCCTAGCAGCCTGCCGCCCGCACCGCACCCGCGTTCCCTTCCCTTCCGCACCGCGCAGGAAATGCAGCAGGACCAGCCGATTGAGAGATACTGAGACAGCTCGCCCGCTTATTCCCGTTCTTTACGCAGTATACGAGTCTTTGTACCCATACCCACTGGAGCGACTCGAACGAGGGATCCGTAAGGTACGGGCACAGGGCAGTGGACACAGGCTCAGGGTCACCGTCCTCGTGCTGGCCTATTCTCCCCACTCAACATCTCCAGTTAGACCCGTTTGGCTCGAGGTTATCATCCACCCATTCTCAGGACTCTCGCCTCAAGAGCTCAAGAATCAACAGATAGATCAGAAATAGGAATACCCGCCGTGGCACCGATGGGTGGGCGCCCTCTTTCTGACAATACGGTATACACAGACGCTGAAAGGATTGGCACAGGCCAAAGTTTCCCTTTCCATCAACCTCGACATCGGATCCTGCCAGGCTCAATCTCAACACTGCAGTCCACAGTACCTTAGTACCTCAGGTTACCCCTGTCGGCTTGCTCCCGCGGCTTTCTCTCGTCCAGGGCATCATCTCGCTCGCATCTCTCATCACCGTGATCTTATCGCGCCTTACCCCCAAATTGGTAGTGAGTGCTTCTTTGTATCATTGAGACTGGGTGTCTTCTTCGCTCTTTCGCATGGGCGCGCTGATGTTCTAACCTGCGATAAGGTAGCCGTTCAAAATAGGAAAAGAAGAATACAAGCCATCAAAGACGGCGGCGGCAGTGGCAGCGGCAGCACGAGCGCGAACGGCACCACCAAATACCTCCACTACCTTACCTAGCAATACTCCGTACCGGATAACCTGTCCGTCCCTCTGAACAGCGATTTGCATATGAGGCAGCGCGCTAATCTCACTCGTGGACACCCAACACCACCACCGCAATCTCGGTCGCACGTCAAGCCAGCACCGCACTGGTGCTGCACCGCGCATCCCAATACCCGACCTACCATCCCACCGTGACCGTCGAGTCGAGTCTTCCCATCTGAATCCCTCCCATTTTCAGACCCCCAGACGCTCAGCACGCACACATACACGCACACGCTCATACGCACATACGATACGCAGGCGACAGACGCAGAAGCAGGGCAAGCAGAGCAGTCAAAAAAAAAACCAAGCATATCCAGCTCACCCCCATTCCCTGTCGCCGCACCCAAGTCACCACACGTCCACACCCCCTCATCCTTGCCCCCTTCCCACACCCCCGTCCGTTCCCGTCCCCGTACCTCCCTCTCCCTCGTCGGCCGGGTCCCAGTCGAGTGCGGTACGAACCAGCAGTACGAAGGTACCCAGCAGCGCCAAAAAAAAACCAGAACGAGCACCAAAAACGCACCAGCCAGGTCCTGCTCCACGTCGGGGCCTGCCATCCATCCATCCATCTGGTGCCCTGCGCCAGTTCCCAGTTTCCTAGATCTCGTCTTTTCGACTCCGCGAAACCTCAACTTCTGCTCAATCGAGCCGGCGACCCTTTCTAACGTCTCCCACGACTGCGCCCTCCCTCGATTCTAGCGCACTATACCGAACAAGGCATCTTGGATACACTCCGGCCGCATATCCTCTTCTAAGGCCTCTCTGCTGTCTTAGATCCCTTACTATCTACTTTAGCCCCCATTCCCCCAAGCGACCGCATCCGGATACCGTCACATTGCTGCGAAAGCTTCGGTGGAGATTGGCCTATTTTCACTTGACGCCCGTTCTATTCCAAATCCTTGTATTCGTCTGGACTCTCAACCCGTTCTGCAACGCCCTGTCGACGAAGAATTCTTCCCTAGCGAACGGTTGATTTGTTCTGCAACCTGGGAACCGCTTTGAAGCGACCTGTAGTCCTGTCGAAATTGCCCATCGAACGATTCTACAAACTCCCCATCGTCGTCCATATCGCCCGATTGACGATACAGGCGCGCATCGTCTATCAATCTCCCTCTCTCTCGATCTCGGCGCCCATCATGCCCGAGCCCGATAATGTCGCCGCCCAAGGCGGTGGCAGCAACTCGAGCGATTTCGTAAGCCCGCAACCCTTCTTTGAGCCCCATCAGACGCTGTAAATACGTTTACTAACTTTCTGTGCGCAGGTTCGCAAACTCTACAAGTTCGAATTCCCCTCGACACTAGCCATGAACCGCTTGCTAACAGTTGCGACAGAATGTTGGAGGACCCAGCCTATGCGAACATTGTGAGATGGGGAAATGAGGGTGACACTTTTGTCATTCTAGAGGTGCGCTGAACTTGGAATACCGCGGTGGGACAAGGGACTGGAAGCTGACTTGCTCCCAGACTGACAAGTTCACCAATGATATTCTCCCAAAACACTTCAAGCACAGCAACTTTTCAAGCTTCGTCCGACAGCTGAACAAGTATGACTTCCACAAGCTGCGTCGCAATGACGAGAACAACGAATCGCCTTATGGGAAGCAGGTAAGGGACGAAACATCTTCAGCCGAGCCTACATTGCTGACAACGCATGCAGGCGTGGGAGTTCAAGCACTCTGCTTTCCGGGCTGATAGAAAAGACAATCTGGACAATATCAGACGAAAGGCTCCGGCTCAAAGGAAAACGCAGCAGACGGAGGACCAGTTCACTACTAACCAATCCATCAACCTGTTACAAGAGACGCTCTTTGCGCAACAACAGCAGGTGCAGGCACTGCAAGAGCAAGTTGCCGAGATGGCGCGGACCAACAAGACGCTTGTCCATGAAGTCCACACGATGCACAAGATCATCGACGCCCAGCGACAGTCGCAACACGAGATGCTCAACTTCATGTCGCATGCTGAGGACAGAATGAGGGGTCAACGGTACCCTGGACAAAACCCGCAGATGAACGGAGGCGCCATGGACGATCAGCCTCCTGAGCTCCGACGCGCGAGAGAGCTCCTTTCCAGTGTAACAACCAACGTCGGGTACGATCGAGAGCTCGAGAGGCTCAACGGCATGTACGCGCAAAGCTCTCCGCCCGATTCCGCCTCTTCCCTCATGTTCCAGCCCGGCCAGGCGGGAATGCCACCCATGCTACCCGAGCACATGAACATGCGCCACCTCGTCTATCCTGTAGGTGAGAACGTAGGCATCGACCCATTGTCCCAGGACCACTTCAACAATATCCCATACACGCTGAATTCTTTGCCAATGAACGACTTCCAGGCTCCACCCGTCGTTAAGCCGGAACCCGGACCGGCCACGCCAGCTCCTGCCGCTGCTGCGCCAGCACGGCCGCCGTCAACGAACGATAAGGGTCTGTGGGGCAACAAGAAGCCGCGAGTGTACCTGGTCGAGGATGACAGGACGTGTTCGAGAATCGGATCCAAGTTCCTGACGCAGATGGAGTGCATCGTCGAGCTTGCTGTGAGTCTTACCTTTGCTCAGATGGGCAATTTTGGCGGTAGTCGTGACATGTGATACTGACTAGTGACAGGAAAATGGTATCGACGCCGTCAACAGATGCAAAGAGGTTCCATCTGGCCATTTCGATCTCATCTTCATGGACATTGTCATGCCGCAGATGGATGGTGTATCCGCGACGCAACTCATCCGCGAACTTCACCCCGACGTCCCTGTTGTCGCCATGACCTCGAATATCCGCCCCGAAGACATCAGCCACTACTTCAACTGGAGTGAGTTTTCCATCGCACTTGCGTACGTGAGCAACAAATACTAATTTGTTCCCCCATCAGGCTTGAACGACGTGTTGGCCAAACCGTTCACCAAGGACGGCATGTTGCGCATTCTCCGGAAGCATGTGCCACACCTCCTGAAGAACGCTCCACCAGATGAGCTCGCCGTAGGCCACGGCGCGGCCCAGCTTCACGCCAACAACAACACCAACAACATGACGGCACCACCGATGAACCCCCAAGTCAAGTTCGATTCCACACCTGGTCAGTCACCAGCGACGACAGCGTCGTGGCACTCGCCCGCACAGATGCATCAGCCATCACCGAATGTGACAAACATCGAGACAGGATACCCGATGGCGAACACTGCGCAAATGGTAATGACGCCAACGTCCGCTCAGCGGCCGACGTTCCAGAACATGCCTCCTGGTATGCAACAAATGCGTGTGCCTGATCACATCGTCGGTGATGACCGACCAGAGAAGCGCCAAAGGTTATACGGACCGCAAGGTGGATACGCTTAAACAAATAGTTCGCCGGTGTTACTAAGCGATCCTTCCTCCCATCGTGCTAAACGGTGTGATGTCGAGACATCTCCCAGCGGGTACTGAGCATCGTATGAAGTTGAAGAGGGGGAGGCCTCTAGGCCTCCCTCGCGCGTGATTTTCGCATCGCCGTCTTCGAAAACCCGAGGACAGGCTCAAGACAACTGTCTTATCTCAGGAAGGACAGGACAGTTGCATAGTAGTCGATGTTGCATTCAGCCCACATACCCCAGAGAAGGCGACTGATGATGTCCCAAGAGAGGACATGTCGCCAATCGGGTGTCGGCATGGGTTTAACGAACGAAGCAGAGTCGGTGACAGCATCCGACCTTGCGAGGAGAGTTTCGGTGATCGGAGTTGGTGGAGTATCATGGTTCGCATTTTGGAAACCCTAGGTGGTGAAAGGCGAATTTGAAAAGATATCTGCTTTCAGCTACACGGGGCATATGTTAACCCATCGTCATAAATATACCTTGCTTCTTTTGCCCTCACTAATGAATTGACTTCATGGAAGCGATGTTGAACAAGATCAAGTCGAAGAGTTGCGGGACGTGATACGTTTGGTGATAGCAGCACCAACCCAGCGTTGTATGTCAGCACGGGATACTCGGACCTGCTGCGCCCACAGTGCCTGTCCTCTGGACCTTTTTCAGGACCCTGATAAGTGAAAAAGGGTTCTCATGCCTCCGTAAGCCTCCACCGTATAGAGGGATTTCTTGGCCACAGAGAGAGCCCAGACAGGTTCACGCCAGATCTTTAGGGTGCAGGACCCCCCCCCCCCCCCCGATCCATGCGGGTAGGACGCGCAGTGTGCAGGCGGGAAGCTTTTCGGGAGGGGGTGGTGGTGGTGGGTGTCTGTGTGGTTGTCGCGGTTGCGGTACGGTACGGTTACCCCCCCGCATGGGATGGGCGAGGTCTAGGCCCGGCCGTGTGGCGCCGGGTGGTCTGATGTGCCGGGGTCCCTGCCAAGGAGGTCCGGAACGGTCTGGAACGTCCCTTTTTATTTCTCCTCCGCAACTGCGTGTTCCCACGAATCCACCATCCACGAGGGACCGAGGGAATCCAGAATCTAGATTGGACTTTTTTTTTTTTTTTCGTTTGAAAGTTGAAGGGGTACCGCTGGTCCGCTGCTGCTGGGCTGTTGCGCCTGCGCCTCCTGGCCCACACCACGACCGTTGGGATTCTCTTGCTCCTCTTTCTTGGGTGTCTTGCGGGTTTCCGGAGATTCGGCCGGGGATGGTTGTGGTGGTGGTGAAAGGCGTCGGTTCGTAGGGCCGGGTGGATGGGATTCTGAATTTCTGCTCCACGGGATTTGTCGATTTGCCCACTGTTCTATCGATCTCGCACCGTGACTGTGAAGAGGTTGACGGGTAAGAGGAAACAATCCCACGGTGGATCTCGACACGAGGAAAGAAGGATCTGGAGAGATGATCCGGGAGATCGGCGAACATTGGGGGCGGCGGGGGGGAAGAGGATGATCTTTCTGGGGTTTCACGTTGAGAAAGGGCTCGTACGGAGTAAGGTCGAGGAGCAGAAGAACAAAAACAGAAGGAGTGCCTGCGAGAAGGGATGCCGTCTGATGTGGGAAGCCACGAGAGTTTATGCTGCTGCAGGTTCTACCATCCGTTCGTACCTTGGACGACACAATGGGATGGGAAGGGGGGCTGGCAGGCTGACAGGCTGGCCGCTGGCAGTCTGGCCCATGGGCCGAGACTGGACTCTTGTTTTCGTAAGCGGCTTGTGCTTCTCGAGCTCCGAGGCCGTTTGATGGGAAGTCCGGGCCAGACCACCAGCCAGACCACCTAGCCCATGACGGGGTCCAGACTCCCCGAGGTTTGCTTGCTGACGTTTGATTTTCTTTTGGGCCGCTAACTTGTCAACCTTGTGTCGCTGCGGAACCGAGCCAGACCAACCCAGACCAAGATGGGATGAGATGAAGATGAGACGATGGCCTCCGGACCTAGAGCGAGGTAAGCAGGTGGTGAAAAGGTGGCGCCGGTTCTTGGCATGTAGTTCAAATGACGGGGGGAAAAAATGAAGCAGGGCGCGGGAGGTTTCCGTTTGACTTCGTATAGATGCGCGAGAGGCTTGCGCTGTATGGGTTTCCTGTATTGCGGTTAGCGGGGAGAGGACGCAGAAGAAGTTTGAGGCTAGTTTGGTCCAGTTCACCTGCCCGAGATGTTCTGGGGGTGTTCTTACCGACTGAAGCAGACAAGGTTCTCATTAAAACGGTTCGGGTGACCGGTGAAAGCAGGCAAGCTAGACGGCGAAGCGAGGCGACCGCGGGCGAAACGGACAGTCGACCAGTGGACCACCACCGTAAATCCCGTAATCCGGTAGACGGCGACATCGTAATCTATACTGTGCTACTGTTAAGTTTTTTTTTCTGCATCCTGCAAGGCATGGGAGGGGCAGGGCACAAGGAAGGAAAAGAATGGTTTCGTTACAAGGGGGGAGGGGAGAGGGATGGTCGCTGCTGCTGCTTTCCTGCAGGGTGCGGCTAAGTGTGGGCGAGATTGCGGTCCATATGACGAAGGTGGTGTGAGCTTTTTGGGATTGTTACACACACACACACACACACACAAACGCAGACACAACTTACACGCACTTATGTGTATGCGAACCACCACCACCACCACCACCACCGCCAGCCGCTTCACGGGAACTTGCAGTGGCCTGGGCCCAGCCCTTTTTGTCCTTGTTGGATCGGTCTAGACTTTTTCTTCTTCTTTTGAAGGCTGGCGCGCAGAAGTATTTGTTGTCCTGTTTCCTCCTGTTGCTTCTTGTTGTTTTGAGAACCAGGGTTGTGGTTGGATTGCTGATTGAGAGCTTCGTTCCGCATCTGCCTACTCGATGTACCGCAGAGAAAGCGCAGGCTGCGCAGCTGCGGCATGAAAGGACCAAGACCGAACAGAGGCATCACATTAAAAACAATTTGATGCTTAGCGAACAGAGAACGGATGGGTTGAGACAGGTTTGCCTTGAACTTTGTACTGTCATTCATCGTCTTGGCGCAGATGCAGCAAGCTGACGAGGGTTTCTGAGATGTGATGGAGGATTGGAAAATGCTTATATAGTGGGCTTCGGGCCGGGGTCAGCCCTCTCAGAGTGACAATGTTAGGAGTCTCTCTCTCTCTGTCTAGGTGTGTTAGGTCTGTTCGTGGTTCTTGTACCACTCATTATTGTTTCTTGGCAGTGAAAGGGGGAAGTCCGAGCGTGTTCCAGTGTTCCAAGAAACACATAGTCACATACCCAGCCGCAGATTCAATCTGAATACCAGCCCGCCGGTGCTGCCCTTGGTTTTTCTACCCAGAACAAGCTCGTGGGGGATGGCTCTTGGGCGATCAGTCAAGTGTCTCGTGTTCGAGGCTGGCTGGGAGGCCCGGATGGGTGTGGGCTAAAGGACCGGAGAATTCTCCGTGGCAATCTCCCGGAGACCCTTTTACCCCCTTCATAGATTTGTGGGAACATATCTGCCTGCTTGAAGTTACAAATTCAATCTCTCTGGATTCTGGGTAATATTCTGCCCATGCGAATGGAAGGCAAGTATGGGGCAAGGGGTGGATTGCCTATTCGTAAGAGAATACCCCCTTTGACACACATCTACACTCAAAACCACAACCTGATTCAGTATGGCATTTTTCAAGCCATACGGGTCTCTCAGTGACAGTTTGCGAGACAGGTGTAAGTCACTTGCAAAAAAAAAAAAAAAAAAAAAAAAAAAAAAAAAAAAAACAGTACGCCAACCGTGGGATGTCACTGCCTGCCTTCCCAAACGCCTCAGTACCCGTTGGGTAGAAGGTATTGGAAACACACAACGTCTTGCATTCTGTATATGCAAGTGCAAATAGGATTTCACTAGACCCTGGATGTGTGTCTACTTGGTATTCGATCATGGTGAAAAGGGCCATTTTCGTCCTCTTCGAGACACTTTGTGTAACGTCTTGTTTCTCTTATGGATGCCTCGCCATCAATTGGCTCATTTTGCAACCAGACAATCGTGGAGTTTCGGCAGAGAAGCATGCCGTGAGGTCAAGTTTCCCACCTTAGCTATTAAGCGCCTGTCTCTCAGTTACACCAGTCTGTACTTTCTTCTCCGGAGTCTACCTAGCGGACCGTTGTAGAGGACCTTTACTTCGATATCTGCCACATACGTTTGTATCGAAAGGAGGCAGCCGGAAAGGACAAGGTGAGGATAGACCAGGTCATCTGCAGGTTCGCTTGTCACACGGCCGTCGGCCGTATCAAAAGTCCAACTGCATGGCCCGCTCTAGATCTCATTTTCGAACACAAGCAGGCAACACTGGACTTTGTCGTTTCGATTCCCTCGTAAGACTAAGAAGACTTATTCGCAGCTTCATGCGTCCATATTGCCCCCAAGTCTAGTACTCCGAACTCGTATCAGCATGTCTCAATGCGACCCCAAACTCTCTTTCGGTTCTGCATGTAGTGAATCTGAGTCTTGTCGTCATGGAGATTCTTCCAGGCTTGAGACTACCGTCAGCCATGAAATCCAGGGTCTGATGACAAAGTGACAATTCTACATTTCCAACAAGCCTCAAAAGAAAGAAATAAGTGAAGAAAAAACATGCGATGGTCAGACCTGCGTTAGGGGTTTCCCATATCATCTGATGGCCATAGAGCCCAAAGTCTCTCCATTAGCACGTACGGGCAACATACCCATGGGGAAACAAAAGGGAGACTTCCAGTCAAAAACGGACTAGCCTCGTACATGAAGCAAGCATGAATTATCATGCACGTCTTCGGAGGTGGGATGGGCGTACCTAGGGCCAATCACACAAAGCCGCTTAGTTCCAATCACTCACTTCCTCCCTTTCGTGTAACGGTCTGGGCCCAACCCCCCCTAGATAAATGCTCTATAGCTTTAATAATTGAAGTGGGTAAGCTATTTTGATAACGGGCGATTCGATTCTTAATAGGTTACGATTATAAAGACACTTCTATCAAGCTATTTAATGTCTAAGAAGTCTATACTGTCGTGGATCATCGTGATCATATTGTTGTCTATGTTGTGTAGTCTCCTTTCCAGATGCAGCCAGGAATATCCCTCATCTGAGGCACCTGGATTCCTGTATTTTCATTGGTTGGTCTCACCCAGATTATTATGGGTCCAGATTACTCGGTCTGGTCCGAGCATACCCGCCCAATTCCACTTCCGCACTTCAACATGTACCGGGGGTGTTAACGGGAGGGATCCTAAAGGCGTTGTGTTACGGCCAGCTAGTCGTAGGGGTAGTTTGCAGAAGTTGAGGCTGCGGAACTGGTAACAGTAATCGTAGTCGTGGAATAGTTTCAAGGAAACTATGTCTGTCAATCGTAAGGGTAGGTAAGGCTTCGGTGATCAATCGTAGTCTTGTCAAGGTAGTAGCTGAAAGCGGATGTTAATCCTGATACGAAGTTAATTGCTGAAGAGCTATGGAAAGTCTGTCCTAGAGTCCGGCTCGAGTCCATCCTATATACAAGTCCTGGTCCTGAACATATCCCTTGTCAATGATCAGTTCCTCTGATCGGGTGAGCGCTCATCGTTCGGCATGAGCGCTCATTGTTCGGCATGAGCGCTCATTACTTGGCATGAGCGCTCATGGCCCCACCATGGCCGCTCATGTCTTATCTTATCATCACGTGACTTGTACCATAGTTCTTCCGTTCCGTGAGAGGGTGCCTAGTGTCCCTTATCTCCTGCATATGTGGTGTATTATAACCGCCGCGAGCCTGCGGGGCAGGCCCTGTTCTTGGTCATGCATGTTGGGTTGTAACATCGTACCTCAACTTATTTATCTTTTCCCTTTTTGCCTAGTTACCTCTAACCTTTTAGTTTTATTAACAATAAGAAGGCGGCAACGTATATGATAAGCGAGTGAAACAGACAAGCGAGTGAAACAGACAAGCGAGTGAAACACTGCCTTATCGTACCTTAAAGGTTGATTTTTTAACTATTTATTAAAAATTGAAATTGAGACTAAAATATATATAATGATCTGTATTAGCTTCGATAAGAGTTATAACTAATCATAGTTTTTGAAATAACTTTCAAAAAAAAAAAAAAAAAAGTCCATCCGCGTATGTTACGGACGTCGAGTTGGTGATGCCCTCACGTTAACAGGTGGCCAAGTGGGGCCGGTACTTCCTGGCAGTACTAACCTGACTGCTAGGTCCTGCCAGGAAGTGCCAGTAAAACGCGTCGACAGCCGACCTAGCCACGCGCAATACTCTCGACGCCTTACCTTACGCCATATGGAAGGGCCGGCGGTTCGTCAACGTTGACGCCATCTCGAGGAAGGGTAACCGAGGCCGTACCTCTTGGATCACAAACGAGGGCATCTTCGTCTACGAGATCCTTGCCAACGGCGTGAGGGGTAATGCCTACTGGGTTTGCCGACGCTGCGACGAGGCAGGGTTTCTAGACCAGCCCTTCAACGCTAACGCCACATCTGCTGCTGCCAGGCATCTCGAGAACGAGCACTCCATCTTCCGAGGTGGCAAGAAGGCTGGCTATACGTCTTCTGATGAGGCTGACGACCCTGGGCCTCCATCCAAGCGCCACCAATCTCTTCCTATCGCCATACCTAAGCGGACAACTACCCAGATCGAAGAGCTAGCTGTGGGATTCCTCGTTGATACCAGCAACCCTCTCACAACGTTCAGCAACCAGTACTTGCAGCACATGCTCAGCCTATTTAATCACGACGTCAACGCCCAGATCCGGTGGTCGAGATCTAGCCAGAGGGAACAACTTCGACGACTCTACATATCCAAGAAGGAACAGATCGAGACCGAGATACAGAGGGCAATCTCGAAGATCTATATATCGTTTGACTTGTGGACCTCACCTAATCGATACGTTATTGTCGCTATCTATAGCCACTTCATTAACTAGTCGGGTAAATAGACGCAGTACCTCTTAGGTCTCCGCCGCTAACCTGGTGCTTACTCTGGTGAGAATGTTGCTACCACAATATATACTGTTATGAAGGACTGGGACCTACTTAATAGGATTGGTGTGACAGTCTCTGACAACGCCAGTGCTAACGACACTTATATCAAGGCTCTTTACCCATCTCTATCACATTTATATACAGAAACTGACGCTCAACAACGTCGAATTCGATGCTATGGCCACATCCTCAACCTCGTTGGCCGTGCCATCATTCATGGCGTTGATGAGGAGGCATTTGAGGAAGAGTCTGACCGTCTTATTAACGCTGGAAGAGTGAAAGAGGACCTAGCCTACTGGAGGACTAGGGGTCCAGTCGGCAAGCTCCGGAACATCGTCAAGTATATCAGATCATCGCCATAACGTTCTGAGAGCTTCTTAGCTATTAGTAACGAGGCTGCTGATGATGATGATGCCTTTACTCTGTGGGAGGAATCGTCACAAGAGCTGAATCTGATGTTGAGTAACACTATTCGATGGAACTCGATATATAACATGATCAACCGGGCCCTACTCAAACGTACCTAGATCAATGGTTACGTATGCTATACTCTGGGCCTCGAAAATGACGAAGATTATGTCCCAAGTGAGGATATCCTCACTAATGAGGATTGGCAAGTCCTCGTCGAGTTGAATGAGGTTCTCGAGCCCCTCTATAAGCAGACTAAGAGATGTGAGGGCTGGGGCAAGGGTGACGGGCATGGTCGACTCTGGGAGGTTCTGGCAGGCATCGAGTATCTCTTGGATCGACTTGAGGACTGGCGCAAGCTCTACGATACCCTTACTACCGAAGAGATTAACCTCACGGCTACCCAAGTATCCCAAAGTCTTTCATCACAGCTATCTCGACCAGCAAGGGCATCGCATCGATCTGCCAGAACGCCAGTCTCGCAGACCCCATCAATCAACAGTATCCCAACTCATACCCAGTCTGACTATATCGCTACTTCGCAGCAGAGTCAACCGCGCCGCCCCCAGGGTATTAACTTCGACTCTCACGGATACTTACGCCTATCGATTATTAATGGTTGGCAAGTACTTAACAAATATTACCTCAAGCTTGGAGAGTCTCCTCTCTACGCCGCAGCAGTGATCTTACACCCTGGCCGGGGCCTACGATGGCTCAAGAAGCGTTGGAACACCCCAGAGACGCGAGGATGGCTTCATGACGCCCAGGAAGGACTTCGAGACTATTGGGAGCAATGGTATGCCGAGATGACTACCCGTCCTAAAGAATCAACCTATCCAGAGCCTCCTCCAAAGCCTCCGCGAGGCTCTTTTGTATCGATCGCAGTTCCTCCGAGGGTTGAAGACTCTGACTATCGTCAATGGTTAAACAGCAGCCTCCATGACGCTACTATCGACGAGGTTGACGAGCTGGATCGATACTTCACCCTCTCAGTTGCCCAGCCCGTCGACGATCCTATTCAGTGGTGAGATTTCACATCAACAGACCTTCCCAACGCTCAGTAAACTTGCCCTCGACGTCTTTGCTATCCCAGCGATGGCGACCGACTGCGAGAGGGCATTCAGCCTTGCCAAACTTACGCTGACGTCACAGAGGCTATCCATGAAACCATCACTGCTTGAGGAGACACAATGCCTCCAGAACTGGGTTCGAGGGGGCAGCGTTGCTGTTGGTGGGCATTACTTCAAGCGGAAGGGTTGACGGAGGGCAGGATGACATCAGAACATCAGATAATGTAAGTTTCTGACGCATAGAGACATCGTGAGAGCTTCACTGACTTCCTAAATAGGTAATATTAATCAATTCAATCCAAGCCAGTCAAATCAAGCAAGCTTCTTGTGAAAAATCAGTCAATCAGACAAGCCCGTCACCCAAGCTTGGCTTGATTGATTGGTATGCAGCGCTGGCCACACCGTTGAGGAAGACGCTCTGCTCACTCATTTCCGAGATCTTGCGTGCCTTCACGTGCTCTCCATGAGGAGTCCTGTCGAAGCTCACGCCCCAAGCACTGAACTCTCCCTTGATTGGATCACTCAGGCCAGTTTGGTTGCCGCCGATGACGATGTAGGTTTCCTGGCCCGAAGACACGGAAACCTGAGCGATGCCGTGGAGACTCTGGACAGTTGGTAGATGAACAAGCTTTTCGAGACGGGAGCGATTCTTGGAAGGGTGAGAGATGATGTATAGGTTGACTTCTGGGTATGACTGCGTGACCAGGAGGTTGCCGTTTGGGCGGATGGCTATGTTTTCGAGCCATGTGCCGTCGGATAGCTGGCCTATGGTGTGAGCGGCTGGGCCACTTGCGAGGGCAAGCAATGGCAAGGCCAATAAATTGAATTTGTGGTAGATCATGGTGATGGCAGAAAGGTCGCTGCCGGGCATGAATTGCTGTTCGCCTGGTGGGAATCAACGGCCCATTAAATGCTTCCATCTTTGGCAGCGTTAAGAATCTGACAATAGGGCTGCGGATGGATCAGAATTTCTTGCGTAAAGAAATCACACGGGCTTGGAGGAATTAATCTGGATTTAACATGGACCTACGATGAAGTTTACGTGGACTTTAGAAGGTAAAGAATACATATCTTTGATTACTGATGGTCGCCGTGAATGAATGTATTAACGCTCTAGGACATCCTGGAAATAAATTTGGGTCTGCTGCAGTTCTGACTGCCAGAGCAAATACGATGTCACGAACCATGAAGTAGAGTAGCTAACTAGTCAGCCCACAAAGTTCAGCGAAACAGAATTGAGTTGTTTCGTATTCTAAGTAAGATAATAATACAAGAGACCTTGTGCCGTCCTTTGCCTGTCTCCTCCAGCTGTTCCCGTAGTTGCTTGTCTCTCCAGACCCCGCACAGACAGAATCAAGGCTGTCTAGTAGTCTACCAACCAGGGTTTGTTGTTTCTACCATGGTGATTCATGATTGCTGCATTCACGAGCAAGGTCTTGCGGGTGTCACTCTCTGGTGCCATCATGATATTCCCCTCCTTCCATAACTTTGGGCAGCCGCAATGGGCGCCTTTGCCGTCGAGGTCGAGGCGGTAGTCTTCGCATGGAACCTGTGGTGGGCCGTGTGTAACGAGGATGTCGACTTCCTTGCAGATTGGTCTCGGATCGCGGGTCACACTTTTGCCTAGGTCTCCTAGTTCTGTCTCGGCCGGGTTGAACCTATCTTCATGCGGACCGTACGAAAACGCGTATCCGTTGAATTAGGGTGTGTAAGGTGAGGCGTATAGAGTAATGGAACGGCCATTCTTGAGGGTGAATGAATGATATCCCTCGCTCAGAAGATTGACTCCGGATTGGTCGAATAGGTCGATCGCTTTCTTTGGCTCCTCTAGATCATCGTCTTCGTCTGAATTGTTGGCCCACCATATAGGATCCAAAGAAACATCGTGGTTTCCGGGGATCACAAGCTTTAGCTCAGCGTCGCAATCCGAAAGACTTTTGATCGCAGCTTTGTAGTTTGACATGCCGCCGATCATAGTTAGATCGCCGCAGTGGAGGACGACATCTGCCGGAGGGAGCTCCGATGGGAAGGCGGAGTCGTGGGTGTCCGACAGAATGAGAAAGCGAATGTTGGACTTCGCCATTGTGGTGTTGAGAAATATGTGCGGGCGGAGAGGTGATGGTCGGGATGAGATATCATGGTCGTATGGAAAGTTCGGAGCTGGTTTGCAGGGTGGGAAATTGTTTGAGAATTTGGAGATATCTCTGCTTTTTAGGGAGAGGGTCGCCTTTCTATAGTCTGATGGGAAAGCAGAAGAAAGAAGAGGTTTAAATTTTCGGAGAAAGGTCGTCAGAAGATAGCAAAGGTTTCCATGCTTCCGTGGATCCACGGTTAAGACTGATCCTCAAGATTTCTGAGGAAATCCAAATCTTTAGGTTAAGAATAATTCTTATATATTTGCTTCTTCCTTCACACAGCCATCGTGAATCAGTCACTGCCCGGCGGTCTTGTGTATCAGCACAGTTGATCCCTCGTGCAGTTTCTGGGCACTACTCGCTGTTGCATTACTGTTGATAACGGTTTCAACTTGATCTTCAGGAGACCATGTGAAATAATGATTTACAAAAAGCATGTAGGAGAGTGAATCACCTAGCTATGCGCCCCTATATTTTCGGACTCGAGCGTCAAACTGACAGCGTGTGTGCCAGCTGCCACACGATTTCTCATAGAAAAATTTGAAAACTATATTGTCTAGCCTTCGTTGCTGAATTCAGAGCATTTTCTGATAGGGAATTCGGTGAAGACTCTCACCGAAGCAGACCGAGGAAGGGTTGCCGCACGGCCCACCCCGCTCCAGGGCCGTTGAGTCACTCACCTTAAATTTCCAACTCCCAAGCTTGCGACCCGGCTTTGACTCACGACCCCGCGACCAACATAATAAATCCCCCAAAGCGTTCACCCACGCCCTTGCGATCCACCTTAGCACACGATGTCGCAGCAAAAGGGAAAGGCCGCCGCCGGCAAAGGCAAGAAGTCCGGTAAGGCTGGAGGTGAGGGCAAGCGCGAGGATGTCCTGCAGGCCGTGGTAAGTCTTAAGCGTCATGGTGGGGCAGGCACGGTGATGGGTGTTGAAATGGCTAACGTGGTGGCTTTCCTCTTCGCCCATTGCAGCTCATCGCCGACTCCTTTCAAGATAGGTTTGCTCCATTTTCAGCAGAGAAGCCAAGAGTAAGTCATGGAACTTGTCCCAAAGCTATGCGACGACGACGACTGACCACCCGCCCGCAGTGCCTGCTACCCCTTGCAAACACGCCCCTTATCGAGTATACCCTCGAGTTCCTCGCCATGAATGGCGTCCAAGAGGTCTATATCTACTGCGGCTCCCACTCCGAACAGATCGAGAACTATATCAACACATCAAGATGGTCCCCCATGTCCATCCGCACCCCGTTTACGAGCCTGCAGTTCATCCGCGTATCCGACGCTCGCTCAATCGGCGACTTCCTCCGTGACCTTGACGGACGTGGCATTATGGATGGCGACTTCATTGTGGTCCACGGCGATGTGGTGTCCAACATCTCACTCGATGGCGCGCTGGCGGCACACAAGGCGCGCAAGGAGGCCGCTGCAACGAATATCATGACAGTGGTCCTGCGATCAGGCGGCGCGGAGGAGCACAGAACAAAGCCCAACGGAATCAACCCCGTCTTCGTGATCGACTCGAAGACGAAGCGTTGCTTACACTACGACGAGATACATCCCCTCCAAAGCGACCACTACATGACTCTCGACCCTGCCGTGATCGACGAACTCTCAACCGACTTTGAGATGCGGGGCGACCTGATCGACGCGGGTATCGATATCTGCACTCCCGAGGTACTGGCGCTGTGGTCTGAGAGCTTTGACTACGAGCTCCCGAGGCGGAATTTCCTGCACGGTGTCCTGAAAGACTGGGAGCTGAACGGCAAGGCGATCTACGCAGAGGTCCTCGAGGACGGCTACGCGGCGCGCGCGAGCAATCTCCAAATGTACGAGTCAATCAACAAGGACGTCCTCGGGCGCTGGACATTCCCCTTCGTTCCCGACTGCAATGTCATTCCTGGCCAGACGTACAAGATGACCAGCGGCGCAGTATGCGTCGAGGACGGAACAGTCATGGCACCGACCAGCAAGATTGCCCGGTCAATCCTCGGCCAGGGAGCCACCGTGGGCGCCGGCAGCACGGTAACAAACAGCATCATCGGCAGGCGGTGCAAAATCGGCAACAACGTCCGCATCGAGAACAGCTTCATTTGGGACGACGCCGTAATCGAAGACGACGCGGTCATCACACGCTCCATCCTAGCCGACTCAAGCATCGTAGGCAAGGGCTCCGTCGTCGCCGCCGGCTCCCTCCTCTCCTTCGGCGTCATCCTCAGCGACAACAGCAAGATCCCCGAGGCCACCGTCCTCGCAGTCACCACACACAACGGATCGCCCGTCAGCCCTGACAAGTCCCTCGTCGGGCCCTCAGGTAAGGGCGCTCCCTACGTCGACCCCGAGGCCGAAGACATGGATGACGAGGACCCCTCGACCCTTCAGCGCTCGCTCCTCTACAACCTCGCCCACCTCAACCTCTCCACCTCGACAATCTCAACCCTCTCCTCCGACATCGACGACGACGACTCGGACGCCGGCGATGGCATCACTCAATTCTCCGCCGACTCCCGCAACCGCGCAGACTCGTTCGTCTCAGACGACTCCCAGGGCAAATCAGGCTTCCACCACGATGCAGTCCACGGCCTCCTCGACGCCCTCCGCGCCGAATCAGGCGACTTCGACTCCGCCAAGCTCGAGTTCATGGGCCTCCGCCTCGCCAACGACGCCTCGGACGTGGCCATGCGCAAGGCCGTCGCCATCGCCTTTGCCCGCCGCGCCGCAGAACTCCTCGAGCCCGAACACGGCGGCCTTGAGCCCGCAAAGGCCGCACACACGACCTTCAACTCCAACAAGGGCGCCTCGAAATTCGTCTCCGAGGTCGGCGTCGGCGGCGGCGAGGCGGAGCAGGTCGAATTCGTCCTCGCGCTGCAGCGCGCTCTGCTCGGGTGCCGGAACCTCGAGAACGCGCGCGCCGGTGTGCTGCTCGCGGCCATGCTGCAGCAGCTTTATGGGCTGGACGTTCTCGAGGCAGAGGGTATCTCGGCTTGGTGGGAGGACGATCGCGCCGAGGAGGGCGCGGGCGAGGGTATGGCGGCGCTCAAGGAGAAGTGTCGGGTTCTCGTTGAGTGGTTGGAGGAAGCTGATGAGGAGGACTCTGATGACTCTGATGAGGATGACGACTAGGTATTGGCATCTCGGACTGCATCTCAGGAGTTGTAAGGGGACCAAGAGGGAGAGAGAAACAGAGGAAGAAAACATACTCACACGAATGCCTGTGGTAGAGGCTTGATGAGTGACAAGGCTTGCGCAGCGCATTTCATGCTGCTGCAGACTAGCAAGACGGGGTCGGGACTTATAAAAGTTACGGTAGAACAAGAATCAAAGAATACGTTAAACAGTCAACCTACTTGTGAGCCTCATCTGATTAGAATCTCATAAAACCAATCATCACGGCACGCCAGTTGGGACAACGGATAACATGACTTGCTTGTATTGCAAGGCGACTAATAAGGTATCATATCAAAAGCATAAGCCCTCCAAAAACGCCCAGCTGAACCCTGGCCCAAAAAGATTGCGAAACTCCGGTCCTTATCACCTTGTGATTCCCCCGACTTTTGTTTTCTCGAATACGCAGCAGAACTCAGAGGATGGCGAAGCTCGCGATCCCCAAAACTGGACAGAGCCTCGTTCTTGAGCCGCAGCCGACCACTGCATAGCAGATTCATCTCCGGGACCTATTCTTCTAGTAATAGTTCTGAAGATCGCTGCTGTTGCCTGCGCCGCCTCCACCGCCTCCGTAATTACCACCACCGCCGCCGCCCATGGGACGACCAGCTGGGCCAGTTGGGGCATTCGGCGGAGGTCCCGAGTTCCACGCGCTAAGCGGAGGTTGGTACTGTTGCTGTTGACCCCCTTGGAAGCCGCCTTGCTGCTGCGACTGTCCCGGGAGGGGCGGATAGCTGTTGTCATCATACTCGACAGTCTGTCCGTATCCTCCCTGCTGGTTTCGGGGCTCGACGTCGTCGAGGGAGCGGTAGCCGTGCATGCCACGTCCGCCGCGGCCGCCCTTACCGTTGCCGCGGCCTCTGCCACCTCTTCCTCCACCGCCGCGGAAGCCACCGCCACCACGACCACCGCCTCCGCGTCCAGAATGGAAGTCGCGGCGCTCGTTGCGGCCGTTGTAGGGGTTGTGTCGGTGATGGTCTCGTGAGTAGTCGCCGCCATCGTGTTTCCGCTTAGAAGACTTGTTGGCGAAGAGCGATTCATACTCGTCTTCGCGGGGGTCCTCTGGCTCGATGCGTAGAATCATCTTCTCTCCAACCGTGGTCTCAAAGGTCATTGCCTTATCGGCGGGGATAGGCTGCCAGTTCTGAATCTTGCCGGCATCCACGGGGCGGGCGCCCTTTCGGAGGGCGAGAACGACAAGAGGTGACGGGTTGTCCGTGTGAAACTTCGCGGTGGCGGGAACGGGTCGAAGGCTCGCTGCCCAGATGCTATTCTCAAAGCAAGCAGTACCTGTGACCTCCCACTTCATCTTGCTGCCCATACCTCCGACCTTTTCCAGAATGCTGGCCGGGCAAGGACGCGGGCAGATGAGAATGTTGTTGGCGTGGAACTTAAGCTCCTGCTCGGGCAATCCAGGGGGGATCTGGGCCATCTTCATCAACTGCGCCGTATCTTCCTTGCTGATCAAGTAGCCTGTGAAATAGACAGTCTTTTTGACTCTCAGCCGTTGCGGACGTACGTCAGATGATTGCTTGCCAATCTCCTCGTTGTGAAGGTTGATCATGTGCTGCACCTCGGCAACCTCAACCACGGGGTCCAGCGTCGTCGACATGTCTGCGACCTGGACAACCTCCGCCGTGATGGGGCCGCGTGTGCGAGTAGCATTGATGTTCTGCTTGCGGTTATAGTCGGTCATGAAATCTCTGAACCCCTTGACATGTTTCGGACGGTCCTCGTAAATGCGGATCTCTTCGGCGTTCTTGTACGTCTCCATGACCGCAGTGAGAAAGAGCTGCTTAAAGTGCATCGTGCTCGAAAAGTTCTGGTTCGTCGGGCTGACGGCAGGCTTGAGCCCAACCATGTCGAACTCGAGCCCCTTGCTCGCAATCATCCTCTTGATGAGCTCCCCGAAGCCTCGCTCGGAGCGGCCCGTCAGCAGCACGCACAAAGCGTCCTTTTGCTTGACGCTCAGCTTCACCAGTTCGACAATCTTTTCATTCCACCAGCTCTCCCAGGCGCGCTTCTCCTCCGTGTCGGCGCCCTCGCCCGTGGCTGAGAGGATTCGGGAGTCGTGCCACCAGCCGCCGTTGCAGATGACGTCTTGACTTGACAACACGCCGATCGTAGGGCCGCTCCATAATGCGGGGTTCGGCAAAGGAGTTTTGAAGACTGCAGAAATGAGATGACATTAGCTTTGCAATGAGCGTATTTGCGAAGCAATCACGCGACGCGGGATGGGGAGGGACGGAGAGAAAGAGAGGGCATCGTTACGTGTGTTGTCAAAATCGTAGATGTGCAGGGCCTTGATCTTGTCGACGGCGGGCAGCTGTGTCGTCGCGATGCTCCATCTGCTGAGTGCAGTCGGCGTCGCAGAGGATGTCGAGTAGGCCGCCTTAGCAGAGCCATTGGCGTATGCGGACGTCATGACTCGGCGGGTGAATCTGGAAGCTGCCAACATGAATGTTGACCAGACTTCGAAATTCCGAGAGAGGTCGAGTGGGAATTGTTCAAAGAGCGGGTCGTCGATACGGTCGCGAGCGCGCAGAACCAGGGCAGTGGGCTAGGGGACTCGAGCTTTGCTACAGCGGTAGGTGCAACCGCGGCTTGTGCCAGTAGGAAGTTTTCCCAGCCGTTGGCTTTGTGGGGCTGTCCCGTCATCAGGGGGAGGCAAGTCCCTGGAGAGTTGCTACCCGTTCACGCCGCCACCTTTTGCGGGAAGCTTACGCACGGGTGCAGTGGCTGCTTATGTCAACATGTAATTAGATAAGCAACGTCCGCCACTCTGAGTACAAGGTAAACCACGGCCTGATGACTTGTTAAGAAAAAACAGGATCCAAGCAATTTGAAGAATTAAGGATTCAACCATGCAAATTTTTTTTTTATATTTTTTTTTTTTGGATACTTTGATCATTTCACGTTGGCGAATTCTCACTCAGAATAGAACGGATGAGCGTCGCGCACTTTTCCGACGTCCCGAAGTACGCCGAAGTGGGTATGTCAAAGCCGGCGTAGGGTTCATAGCTTCTCTTCTCCAGGTTTTCTCCTAGTGATTCAATTTAATGGTCTGTTTCTGCAAAATAGAGATGATCTATGGAGTGGCTGTAGTTATCCCTTGCTCATTCAGGTAGGAAGATGTTGAGGTAGGACGAGATGTTGCTTCCAGATGGTGTACTACTACTCATAATGCAATAACTTTGCTTCTCTCCTCAGAGTGATTACAGGTTCGAGTAAAATGGTTGCCATGAAAGATATTCACTCACACCTAGAGTAAGAAAGAGTCTTCGCCCTTTATACAGAGGTGAAATGACTATTGAGCTAATAATTGAAACATATCGCAAACAAGACCTTATTGCTTGTAATCGATCTAGACCACAAACTTGAGTTCATGAACTTACGGTTTGACATTACGGGAAACGGGGATATCGTCAGACGGCAATACCTCCGGCTCATCAAGATTGTGAAGCCTGACCTGGGGAGGTAAACGAAACACATCAAGAGGGACCCGGTGACATGATAGATAACAGTTTCTCTTAATTTTCCTTATTTTTTGGAGTCTCGGCTGAACCCAACCATGGCTAGATTCGTGCCTCTTACCAGCACTTGCTTCCGCTGAACCACCGTTAGGCGAGGCCTGCCAACAACTATTTCATCCTCTTCAGAGTTTTCGTATCCATCCTCCTCTTCGCGGCATCTCATCCCTTGCCGTACCTGCCCATTGGGATATCATCTTCCTGCTTCATCTCATCCATCTTTGGTGATCTCTCGCAAATCCTGTGTTCCCGTTCCCAAGCGAACATACAGAGGCCATGCTTCTTGGCGTGTAAGTTCCAAACATCGACGGCTTCCAACATAAGAAAAACATGTTTTGAGGACATACAGGCCCCTTGAGTCCATAAAATATCGGACATTTGTGAACAGGAAAAAAAACGATAAAAAGATCCAAGATCGGGGAGATTTCCCGCACCATAACGCCGAAAAAAGAGTAACCGAGTGCCTTTCCCATGGGTATTCCATGCCGCCTTTGGTGGCCCGACCGATGCAATGCGTACTCTAAAAAGTCATGCTCATGAACCAGCCAGGGTCCCTTTTCATCATATCATACCACTTCCACTTGTCCATCGTTTGGACACCTCTTCCTCATTACTTCCATCAATTCTTCGTGTCAAAATACACGGTGTGGTATGTCGACTACAATGTCGGGTCAATGGCGCCAGAGTCAGACTGCTCGCCAAAGTCAAGAAAAGCGTCCCAATTGTCGTTGACATTGGGTCCCGGGGTCGCATCATCGCTTCTCGGTTCGTCAAAGCGGGACGCGTAAGGGTTCACGTGTCCGTTGAAGTACTCGTGCGAAGAAAGCGTAAGCTCATTCAAGTGCTGCTCATGTTTCAGGTCGGCCATCGAATGAGTGTCCGGATAGTACATCTGCTGCTGTAGCGGGTTGCCCATGAACATTTGAGCCATCGGATCATTCATGTCCAAGTTGGGTACCATCATCTTCGCATCCATCGGCAGCTCAGCAGTAAACGACGACTCAGGGGAGAAGAGGCTGTGGTCGATTGTTGTCATGGGCGAAGGGAAAGTCGAAGCGGTTCGCGTCGAAGGCGTGCCAGCAGCAGCGTCCGATGACGGAGACAATGCTGGCGGCGACTGAGGATGATCTCGCACCACCGGTGTGGCCATGTCCATGGGAGACGCCACTGACTGTGTTCTCTGGCGTTGGTATCGCTGGTTCTCGGGCTGGAAGTTTACGGACGAAAAGCTCGGGGACATAGGGCTCGTAACCGCGTTCTCGGGCTGCGAGGGTTGCGACTGCGACATGGAACGTTGCCCAGGGACGGAGTACATCGAGTTCGTGATGTTGCGAGACAAAGCCTGTGCTTGCTTGTTGGCGTTCGGGAACTGCTCGGCAAACATCTTGTTGATTGGGTTTTGGGCCCATTCCTCGTTGCGGAGCCCGGCTACCATGCTCGCCATGGCTACCCGGTTAGCCAGAAAGGCATTAACGCGGTAGTCAAACTCTGGAGAACCGGTCTGGAGGTGAGCTGCCAGCATTCGGTAAGAGCGAGGCATGTCATCTTCTTCCTCTTCGTACATTTCCTCGGCCTGGACAATAGCTTCAGAGATCTTGAATCCCTTGCCGGTACGCTTCTTGTGGATCTCGCTGGCCATCTTGGCGGATTGGACACGGGCTTCGATGCTGCGGTCTGCGCGCCGCGAGGCGGCAATGTACGCACGCTCTTGGTTCTCTTCGTGAGATCTCTCCGTCTACGTGGAACTGGTCAGCCCTTGGATCCGGCATTGTGGATACTTCGTTGTGGCATATTAAACAGAACGTGGCAAGAAACGTTGTACAAGAGTGGCGAATAGAGCCAAAATGGGAAATTGAGAGCTGTGGATACATTGGATAGGCAAAAGAATGTACTGGCTCGGCCAAACCGACTGGACAAAATATCACGGCTTGAACGGAGGCTTCGTACCTTCTTCTGTGCCCGTTCAGTCTGCATTGTGGGCGACAGGTTGCTGGCGTCCAAGGATCGCTTCGGCATTTTCGTTGACGTCTAGGACTCGGAGATCGACGAGTGTTATAAGATAGTCGAGTGGTAATGGGGTCAAAGGTGGCTTGGCCAGAGACGTAGGTGATGCGGGGAGCAGGCGTATATTGGAAGCTTTTATTCACTTGCGGTGATGGGCTTCGTTGTGGCTAGAACCTTGAAGCCGGAATCACCTGATATCGCGATGAGGTCTGTCGGTCGAAACCTAGTTGTTTACTTAGGTACGTAAAGGCGTCTGAGTCGTACGTGAATCTATCGTGATGTCCGAAGACGGTTGCGTTTTGTGAGGGAGCTTGTCGGTCGAGGGACCAAAAGGGTGTGTGGAAATTGAGGAGGCAAGGTGTGGAACAGGGCGGTAATCCAAGTCTTATACAGTCCAAGGGTATGTGCTCGGGAGAAACGACCGGGTATCAGTCTCGAGGTGCGGAGCAGCGCAGAGAGGAAGGAAAAAAGGGAGTGAACTGGATGGGCGTGCGGTGGAACAGAGGACAACCCGGAAGCAATGTTCCATGCGAAAGCGTGGGAGAGGGAGAGAGAGAGAGAGCGTGAGGAGGTACATCTGGGGGTACATCTGATGCTGGGTTACTGGTTCGAGGATTGACCAGACAGACGGCCGGATAGATGTGACCGGGGGCATGGTACATGGGGGAGGGGTCAGGTTCGATTGTCTGTCTGGTCTGTTGCTGTTGCAGTGAGTGAAATGGGACTCGGGTAGCTGGACTAGATACGCTAAGGATACATAGGGTCGCGGCGGCACAAGCAGGCGCTGAGAAATGCGGTAGTGCTGGCTGTGCTGCGGTTGGGGCAGTCCACCTGTGTTTCCCGTGAAAGACGGAGAGGGACGGCAGAGTGAGAGGGGAAGAGAAAGTGGCATTTCGACTGCTTTCGATCGCTAGTTGGACGATCTGGGAGGGTTTGATCGGGTTACGCTCTGTTGATCGATCTCGATGAGAAGGGACTGTGTGCTAGGCCGACGCCCGTGGAGCAAAGTACCCAAGTAGTCACTCTGCACTTCATCGAATGGAAGGAAAGGGCTGCCCACTCTCTCTGCTTCTCCTTCCATTTCCCCCAGTGCCCCCCCTCTGTTCTGATCTCTGAATGACTGTTTTCCTGTCGCCCGCCCTCGTACTCTACTTCTTTTGGATTAGCGCCGGGTCGTTTGGGAAGATGGCAACCACGGTTTGGTTGTGTTGGCAGGGGCTGGGTTCACGGCTAAGGCAGTCGCCAGTTGTATTGTAACTTTTGGGGAAGGCACAGCTTTTCCCCGTCTTCAACCAGTCTTCTTCCTTCCCACAAGCCATCTGCCTTAGTACCTATTACAGTCTTTCCTTTCAACTAAAGTACTCAAACTCGTTTCATTTCTCTCTTCCCTGCCCATCCGCTCTATCGTTAGATTTCTGTCAAGCTCAAGACGGTAGCGGGACGTGTACGAATACAGAGGCAGGAGCACCAATCGTCTCGAGGGCCGCAGGGCAGGTGCAGATGCAGCAGCTGCTGCTGCTGCATGGGGTGGAGCTTTGGCCTGGGTGGGGCGATCCCAAGCTCGGGCTCTCGCCTGTGCCACATCTCCACCCGAGTGCACCCAAGTGCAACCGACAGGGCAGAATCAATCCCCGGGCCATTTGCTCCAGGCCTTATCCCAGTCGCGAACTGTGAGAGACAGAGAGCTTCTTCCCAGTGGTCCAATTTTCCACGGTCATTTTGGGCAGTTCCGCATCGATTCCTCTTGCGTTGCGTCTGAATAATGTCAGTACTGCCGCAGCTACGCAATAATTATTGTAACAAGTGGTAACTAGGACGACAGACATACGAGCTGTCCTATCCTCTTACATTTCACAGTACCATAGTATCCGTACCAAGCGGTAAGCTGTACGGAGTATGATAATCATAATGTAGCTTTCGTGCAAAGAAGGGCTTTGCAGAGGGAGGCAGGAGCGTCACTACTCGAAACTCCGTCTTTCCCCCAAATCCCATGATTCCATGCACCCTGTTCCTTCCAGTCTTCCCCTTGCCTGAAATCGCCATTGCGGCTAGAGACATGGTGCACCGAGTACGTATTCTTTCTTTTCCTTCCTGCCCTCTGCCAGGACTGTTTGCAAGCGGGTACTAAACGAGCAACCACGTTGGCGAACAGAAAGAGAAGGTGAGAGGGGGGGGGGGGGGTGGGAGTTTGTCGTGTCCTTGGGAACCTGAGGGAACTATCAGTACGGAGTACCTCAGACATGAGAAGAGTGAGGAGTCGACAGGCGGGAGACCGGGATCCAACGCGCCCTTCTGCAACCATCACCGATTGACAACGACAACCTTGACAACCACACAACCACGTCGCCCGGCTTCATATCGTCCCTCGATTTGCGCAATCTACCTGCAGACCTGCTGTTTCTCTCAGTATGGTCGCTGTGATGGGGTGGCGGGCCTAAAGTTGTCGCTCGGGCGGAACCTTTGGCTCCCAGCCGTGCCAGCGTCCCCAACTCGTCAAACTCTCTTGTCATGCTAAAGTCTAAAGACGCTTAGCTGCAGCCCGCCGCTCGTCTTGTCCGACTGCATAGTGTCTTATACAGGACATTGGATGTTGCTCACCGGCTGCATGTATGCTTGGTATCTCTGAGGTCGATCCCAAGAGTTGGCTCCTGACTATCTTTTGGCTGTATTGACACGCCTCAGCCAATCCCATGTGAGTGATTCAGTCACTTTGAATGGCTCGCTCACTTCCATCCGGCTATGTCTCTGACATATCGCAGTTGATGGCCCATCATCCCTCTGATATGTGTGGGCTATTGCACCAGGGCGTACGTTGTACCACCCTTTCCACCTGGGCCAGATTCCGCAAACATGCGCGAGCTTAAGACAAGAGAGGCAGGGACCGGTCAATGTTCCACGAGCCCTGCTGTGCTTTGCTCTGCATCCATACATGTATGGAGCACATTGCCTCGAGACACGGCACATTCACAACTTTGAAGTTTTCACTACCTACCCCGCTGACAGGCCGCATCATTCGACCCTTAACGAATTTGTACAGGGCTGTCCTATTCGAAATTTCAGCCAGGAGCGCACTCCGAGGCCTCACCGCCAATAAGTCCAATTCAGTTGAGACACAACAAGCCCGGCGGGCAGTGCCAAGTCGCTGTGCCTGTAATTCGTACAACCACAGCGAGTGCAAAACTACACCCTCCTCGTCCCAGGTCGATCTTCGCTCCAGATCCCATGGAGACGTCGTTGCCATTGGCCTTCGACGCAGCCTGTGTATGATGGAACCCAAATGCATTCCCGGTCAATCGATTGGACTCGTCAATGCTCTGTGGCTGTGGCAATAGGCTTACGGTGGCTCTGAAGAGACCGAAGCCCTCGACCTCGACCACACCAGAATCTCAATCCTATTACATCCGATCTCAATGCCGACAGGTTAACCTACCTACTGTTGCTTGGTTCGCGGCTCCCAATCCTGTCATCAGTGGGACGATATAGCTGTTGTGCTGGGGCTGTACCTTAGCCTTTGCTCTGGCGGTATAGCACCCCGGGCTATTGATCCGAATACCTCGACACTCGGTGCTAGAATCTCTCCGCGTCCGCAATTCGGAAAGACGAGTGGATCCGGTAGCATGGGGCGACAGCGACGATCGATCCCCAGGGTCCGATGCCGAGTACTAGGGACCCCCAGCACGATGGCGATGAGAATTGACACGCTGCCACGCTTCGACACATCTACCGGAATATTCTAGCACCACTGTAACGGATGTTCAGCAGGCAAATGCCCTCTCCAGTAACAATAGAGTCGCAATCGAGTCGCAATCGAGTCGAAAAAGGCGAGCTTTAGCGACAGCACTGTCTCGTTCCTACTAGCTGACATCGTAGGAAGTCGTCCTGCCTTGCAACCTAATTTGGACTTAGGATACGGATATAGATACTCATAATCACGCCCTCTGCGAGAATTGCGAATTGCGCGATGGTTGAAACAGAATCCCTACCTTCTGGCACAGTCGTCCCAAGCCGGCGGGGGAGTATTGTCCTAATTTCCCACCCCAACATCGGGTCACCTCGCGCTTCGCAGGTTTCGCAAGACCGACCCTTTACGGAAGATGTGCCACCAGGGTCACGCCAACAGACGGGATGGCTGCCCCCAACTTATGCTCTGAGAACGTGGCATTTGCAGGTGCCTTATTAGCAGTCGGTAATTGTGGCACAAAATTGCGTTAAATCCGACCAGCCAGGGCCCGCCCAGTCTAACTCGAGGAAGCTGGGATGCGCACACAGATTCTTTGAGAGGGCCTAGACTCTCGTCGGCAGCACCAGAGTTTGCCAATAACCTACGGATACAATAACTGCTTACCTTTCGACAAGTTCTCCGACTCTTGCTTCAGAAGTTCAAAGAGCGATAAGCCAAAGGCTATGGAAAACTACTTTCGCACATTCCCAACCTTGTTGTCTTCTGCTGGAGTGGTCTCATTGGTCATCACATGTTGGACGGAGCTTTGGGCACTCAATTACTTGCATACGTCTAGCAGAGCAAGCTGCGAACTCCCAGGCCTGCGAAGCAATCCAGCCAGGTCAACCCAGAAGGCCTACCTACTGGACACGGGCCATGATCAGAGCGACAACTCCCAATTGACAAGAGCCCGCCAGCGAACTGCCCTTGCTGCGTACGGTCTTACCCCGCTGCCGCCGTGGCCGACGCGAGAGATGGTGGGAGAAAGGTGGTGGCTTCTCCAAAGATACGTTGTTATGCACTGCCCCTCGCGTACCGAATTGTTGGTTGCAACCTCAGCGGTTGGCTTTCAGCTGGTTCGCCAGGTCAGACAAGTCTAGCGACGCTGCTGATCGCGTCGAGTAGGTAGGTATCAATTTCTCAGTCGTCTACGCTACTGGGTACAGATCATCCAATCTTGCGAAGGTCATTCAAGCCCAGGAAATCCCTTATGGCCAATTTCCATGGATATCTCCCGCCAGCCTGAAGTCGGCGATGTGAGTTGCTTCCAGAGATCTGGAAAGTGACGTCACATCAAGATGGATCAGCTGCTTCAAATATCTACTGGGGACGGTATTGGGCTGAGAATATCAGTTATTTTCCGTTTATGGTGAATTATGCTCGCCCGCGGGTTAGCTCTGGTTCAAGCGCGACGGCAGACGACAAAGTTGAGGCTTGCCATTATTAAAACGACTGGCGTTGCTCGACGTTGGGACGGAGCAATCTGTCCGCGCGCCACTAGCTCGTTCTTCTTCTTTGGCGTGTGAAACGGATACTTCAAGTTACAACACAATCATGGCAGACCCCTCGAGCGGGACGAACCTCTCTGAGACCAATCAACAGGTCACGGTCCAATAACCCGGTCCCAGCAATTCCATGCTCATCTTTCTACCTTCACGCCTAGTGTGGTGTACCGACAGGCCACAGGGACGGATATCTCGAGCACATTTCAACACCGGGTTTCTGGACCCAAGCGATCGTACTACGCCTAACCGTAATTCGATCAGTTTAGAGAATCAAAGAGACTGCAAAGGACCACGGCAAACAGGGGAACCGCTACACCGGGCAGCACACCATCTTGATCGACCTTCTGCCACAGCGGGGCAGCGGGTACTATGTCGACCTGCGTAGTATCGGAATCGACCATGAGAAATGACATGTCTATGTCGTCAGACACTGAGGTTCGGTCGGTACTGCCCGCCCCTCTCTCATGGTTCTGTTTGCTGTAGGCTGCTTACTAGCCGTGAAGCAATGCTAATCAACGAACTTTCAATGTCGACAGTTCTTGAAACCCCACGGAAGTCCCTTCGGCCGGGACGACTGAAGCAGATACTACCTAGAATACAGCCTGCCATGTCTACGAACGAGCAACAAGCCTTCGTACCACACCCTTCCCCATTTCCCCAACTGCCTGTTTCCAGTGGTTTGTGGCGAAACAACGAGAGACATTCGACTCCGTCCCATCTGGCTACCACAGACGCACACGCCCAGCGAGGTGTCGCTCTTCCTCGAGTGTGCGATACAGAAGGGGGCGAACGAGGTTTTCGGGTACTCACATGTCCCGCAAATTCCCATGATTTAAAGCATGGCATTCTGTTTCTCCCGCTTGGTAGTTTGGGTCCCTCACCTCTTCGCCGACGATGCGCATCATGGCTTCGGCGCGTCACAGCAACATCTGATTTCCAATATGTCTACAAGAATCATTCTCGTTCATCTCGGTGAGGTACGCACAAAAGACAGCACTCTATACTTCGTACAGCGGTGCAAGTATTTTGTCCCCACTCGCAAAGGAGGGTCATCAATGGAGCCCGCACCAACGTTCAAGATGGAAAATTGTGTCGACTTTCGTTTCTAGATAAGCGAGAGATCGCGCGCTGACATCTCATGTTCGGAGCCGTGACGGCCAATCGACCTTTTCGCCTCCTACCCCGGATCCTGATCTCATAAGTTTGATTCCAAATGCCCCTTGCGCCTTTTTGTGAGTCAGCATAAATCAGAAACGGCCACCAACGCCGTTGGAGACGCCCCGCCTATAGTCTCTGCCGGGCAAGGCCAGGAGGCCAAAGCCAGGCGATCAGGCGATCGTTGATAGACGTCGGCAGATGGCACTGGCCGAAAACGCACGCCTAGGGGTGATGGGAAGATTATTAAACAGCGGGGAGCCCAGCGCCACGTTCCTGAACCCTGACGTAAAGTCTCGGGTCGCTTGGAGGCTGGATGCGCGAGGAGCGGGCACCAAAGACGCCCGCGGAGACAGTTCACTGGGAAAGTGGGAATGCAGTTGCGAACGCCTTATTCCAGCGACGTTGGATTGACATTGCAATTTCCATGGAAGAATGCGATGTGCGGTGTCGACGAGAGAACCCTGGAAACCGGCATACCGGATACAAATCGTGATCTTGAGCAGTTCTTCCAGATCTGACACTATTGTCGGCCAGAGAGTACCTATCTGTCCCAGCTGCGTTCGCGGCAAGACTCTATCTGTGCATCAACATAACGCCGGTCGCAGCCAGTGTTCCGACGATGCACGACATACATCGCATCTCGATCTCTTACCACGTGTTTTGCAATTCAGCATAGACACTATCACGAAGAGAGCAGCTCAAACGTACTTGTCCTGATGCTCCGGACAACGTCTGGGCCCACGAACACAAGCTGGAAGAGAAGATGATCGTGATCTCTGGACGCGCTATCACACCAGAACTTCCTCTCTCGGCTGGCTTCGGGAGGCTTGTGGTACTATTCAACGCACCTAGTGAGAGGGGGACCTTAACCGACAGTCTGGCTCGGCCGCTAGTGCTCGAAGAGAACAAGGGAGCTTACACAACAGCTCAGAAATCTCGATGGTGGCTCAGACAGTCGATAACCGCCTGCGCAAGATTCGTTCCAGCTTGTCTCTTTGGCACGCCGGTTCTTCCAAAACCACGTCGGGCTGGGACCAGTCAAAAGGGATAGGAAACCAGCGTTCCAGACGCTCGCTCAATTATCCGCCAGCCACTGCCCGAGCCCCTGTCGTTAGGGAGACACTGCGTACTCAAACTAGAGACATCGTGCCATTTTCAACAATCCGGCCAGAGTGGCCTGGTCTGCTCATCCACCTTCTGTCAATAGTCGGCGCCATGTGAGATGCCCAACTTCATGGCACACTGGAAGGAGAAGCTGCTGATGCTGTGTTACGTGCGCAAGCAGCCCGAGCAGCTGGGCAGGAAGATTTACTAACAAACCTGCCAACATAGGGTTCTGCAGACTGATCGGGCCGCCGGCACGAGTTGGTTTCGTGGCTGGACTTTCGTTCGGCCCTCGTTCTGGAATCCCACCTTGCGGCCGCATAGCTTGTTCAAGCCAAGATGCTTCCAGGACACCGCTCCTACCGGCCAAGCCCTAGCTGAACGCATGCTGTTTGTTTCGTCCGCTTTCAAACATCCCAGCAGTATTATGGCAAGGTTAACTCGTTTGGGGGTTCAACACAACATTGACGGTACGAACTGTAGACATCAAATTCTCGGCCCCGTTTCTCACTCGAACTGCTCTAATTCAGTCCAAGTTCTTCACACCTCTCATTTATCCTGCCGCTTTGCAGATTCCGCAGATTTCTTCAAGGCTAAAATGAGGTGAGCGCACGGCCGAGGGTGGGCCCTGAGCCGTTCCGCCCCGATTTCCAGGGAAATCCACGAGACTCGGGCGGCAGTGCCCATGAAGGGCAGCTCTGGATCCCTGTTTCCGATTCACGCGACAAGTTCGCCGATCGGACGGCGGGCCCCGGATTTCGCGATCCCCTCAAGTTCTGCAGGGCAGTCCGTATCGTGGCATGATCAAAAACAGGGCTCCCCGGCCCCACGAACTGGTTCCTTTGTTGGAGCGATCGTAGCAGCCAACGTGCCATCGGAACATTCACAGCCCCGATGCCAACGTTCTGGGACGTGGGCCAGCTGCTCTCTCCTGGATCGGGAACGACGATTTCTTAATCCAGCCCGCCGAACACCCCCCCGTCAGCCCTGCATCTACCAGACGAACGATTGAGCGTCTATCAAAGTTCCCGATCTCGTGGGTGATTATTACCAACGGCCTGCATCGTGTTTTTACGGCGGTGCTATTTCGATGCGCTGCCGCTAGTTATCACCGCTTAGGAGTCCCACCAACGACCAGCCAACCTGCAGCGGGAGTGCATCTCTCCATCGCAAAGGCTCGGGAGGGTAAGGGAGGGTTATGGGGGCATGCCACGATTCAGGACGCCGATTGCGACGAACCTTTCGATGCAGCAGTATGGATCGCGCCCACTGCGCTGAGGCACTTTTTCTGTCACCTACACTAACACCCTTAGCTGAGATGACATCTCTCCAGATCGTGTACTCCGAACGCCCGTGACAGGATTATCTCTCAGGCTCGACTATTGACGCCATTCGCTTCATAGTTGAAGCCAAACCCTGGTGCAAGCGCAAGCAGGAAGGAGAAAGCCCTTGTCTAAGCGCTTAGATGTCGCAAGTCGGCGGTCGCTAGGCGATCGGCCCCACGGTTACTGCGATGCTGTCGTCGTTGCGCGATGCTTCATCTTGTTTTGCAAGACTTTGATCGCTATGGAAAGCAGCAAGGACTGCTTTCAAACCCATGCGCGACGAAGGGATGACGAAACTGAGCCATGGCGGGCAATGTGCGCGATAAACTCCGTTGAATTGGCAGCAAGCCCTGGCACGGTGTCAGTGCAATGAGCGCCTCGACCAAGACTGGTAGATGTTGCGGTTGTCGGGTGTTCAGGCCGTCGTTACTGTCCACCAAAATAGAGGCTCTCGTCGACATCTGAGTTGCGCGTAGACTTCCCAGGAAAGCTTGCCCGAACCATTCTAAGATAGTCGGGAATGGACGACTGTTTAGGCTGCGTTCCCAACCTTCTCTGAAAGCTCAGGAACAGGTCGCTTTAGTGAGCCCATCATAGTGATCTCCTAGGAGAGATGCCGCTGGGTGAACAGCCTTTTCGTGGTCGGCACCCCGCAATCTCTCCCATCACTTCATTTTCAATGATGTTGGATTATAAATCCAGATGGTTTTTGCCATCGGCTCGCGCCTACATACCACGTTATTGTCCCGAGACTGGGGTATTTGGAAGGATTGTAACTACTGAGCGGGGGTTGTGTTCCTTGATCGCGAGCTGAGTCGAGTGGACCTCAATGTTGCGAAAAGCGAGTTAAGAGCGAAGAAGCGGTCGTCCGTCGCGTCGGCCGTCATTATCAACTTCAATGGATGAAACTGAACGAGATCCTTCCTCCCAGTTGTCGGACAGATGATGGCGGACTTTTGGACATTTGGACCTTGTTGGTGGTATTCGGACAATTGCCAGGCGACAGGCCACACCGAGGCGGCCGCTGCTGGCGCTCTTAGAGACGGCCCATTCGACCGAGATGAAAAACTACGTGCGATTCTCACGATGTCACGGCCCGGCGCTTTTCATGGGAGAGGATGTTTGGTTGCAACGAGACGGCAAAATGGGAAGCGGGAGGATGCTTTGGAACCCCTCCTTTCGGGATTACGGGCAGGCAGCCGTCGAGTTCCACGACATCGGATATCCCGTCTTCTGGCGGTTAAAAACGCGACGTGCCCTCCGTGCCGCATCTTTTCGATCATCTTGCCAGTCCCCATCTCAAGTTATCCTCCTAGAGTACGCACTATCGACGAGAGCCTTGTCGTTTCTTCATCATCTCATCGCAATCAGCACAACAACGCAAAAAGGCAAACGCCTCGCAAACATGGCACTACGATTCGACCCAGAGTACCAAGCCGCCATCGCCGCCAGAGACAGCGGCGGAGGAGGTCCCGCCCCGCCAGCGCCATTCAAAGACGTCTTTGAGCTCCGCGCCTTCTCGGAACCTATGCTTCGCACCGTTCTCCGCGCGCAGCCGGCGCCGGAAAACGTCCTCGAGACCCGGATCCCGTTCCCCTCGCACGACGGACAAGAGGTCGGGCTCTACCGCTTCGCCACCCAGGAGATGATTGACAGCCCCGAACCCCTGGCCGCCGTGGTTTACGTCCACGGCGGCGGCATGGTCTCGTGCGATGTGGATATCTTCAGCCCGCAGATTAAGCGGTTCGTCGAGATGGTGGGGATGCCGTTCTTTGCGGTCGATTATCGGCTTGCGCCTGAGTTCCCTGATGGGCTCGGCGCTGAGGACGTGTATTTTGGGTTGAAGTACCTGTCGGAGCACGCTGCGCGTTGGAACGTCGATAACGGCAACATCGCCATCATGGGCGACTCAGCTGGCGGCGGGCTCGCTGCAGGCGCGACGTTGATGGCGAGGGATAGGAGCCTGCAGCCGCCGTTGCGGAAGCAGGTTCTCGTATACCCTATGCTCGACGACCGCACCTCCGTGCCCGAGAAGGCTACAATTTACCCCTTGTTATCGTGGAAGGCGCACGACAGCGTGCTCGCGTGGCGGGCGGTGTTGGGGGATAAAGCTGGGGACCCGCGGCCCTCCGCGGCGGAGGCCGGGATCTCGTTGTATGCTGCGCCGGGGCGGGCTTCGGTGGAGGAGTTGAGGGGACTGCCGAGGACGTATGTTGATGTGGGCGGGTTGGATTTGTTTCGAGATGAGTGTGTTAATTTTGTGAGGAGGCTTTGTGAGGCTGAGGTGGAGGTTGAGTTTCACCTGTGGCCTGGGTTGCCGCATGGGTTTGAGAGTGCGCCTGGGATTGGGTGGGTTAAGAGGGCTTTGGAGGCGAGGAATGATGCGCTGAGGAGGGTTTGATGGTGTTCGTTTGGGGGTTTGGGAGGGAGATGGGGTGGTGGAAGGGGGGCGGGGGGGATGTATGAAGTGGGAAGGAGGTGGTTGGTATGGACCAGACTGGATGAGACTTACATTTGAGGCGCGGTTTGTAGGGACGATCCGGCTTGGAGGTTCTGGTTTTGCAGCAAGCTGTATTCAGTGAGCTTGAACGGTTGTGTCTGGCTCTTGGGCGCAGATCGCGATGTCTTCAAGTCTCTGGCCCTGATGTAAGATAAGCTGGCGTAAGCGTTAGCCGACCCCTTTGACCAACCTAGTCAACGCCAGTAACGCTCTCAGATGCTGAGACTATTAAGACCCTCTTCGTCGTACTCTTAATTTGCCTGGACGTAAGAGCTACCCGGTCTTGCTTCTAATAAAGCCCAGATAAGAGGGCGGAGGCAGCGAGGTGTCTTGGTATAAGCGTGATGGACCTACTTGGCATTTCTTTCCTTCTCTACACCGGTAATAATACATCTGAGGGCGTTTTGACTCTTGAGAAACAAAGGACGGGAAAGAAACAAAGAGTTCGCCCCCGGTGGGACTACATCTCTTGGTGCTCATACTGGGATTCGAACCTGGAACTCGTAGCCTGTCGTCGAGTAGGCTGTTGGGCGTAATGTAATTGATTTCTTGATCATTAACCACTCCATCACCCAACCAGTTTGACCTGACCCGTCGACCTACACGGGCGCCTCCTGGCTGGTGACTAAGAGGGAGGTGAGGGGGTATATATGGGCTTTCTTCCCATATGTATTGTGTGAGCTGGGATGAATATACGTTCACGCGGTCGTTGTCCCTCGGAGATGGTGGGGCGATGATCGGATTGATATGGTCTGGTACCGGCGCAAGCCTGGAAGACCGTGACTTTGGATGCTTACATGTATTTTCCTATAAATCCTAGCCTTGATCTGACAGAAAATGCAACCACTCCATGCATCTATAGCCCTGTAGACAACGGTCAGAGGATTCATCGCCGTTTGGTTTAATGGAACCAAACTATCCATTCCGTCTTGAAGCATGTTCTGGAGTCTGAACAGCCCGCGTGATGAGACTCGCTGGGGGGTCCCGACGCCCTTGGGTCTTAAAACCTTGAGTGCAATTGAGCTACAAGTTAGGGAACGCGGTTGCGTGTCTTTCGTGGTCCATAGCAGCCCGTTGAGCGTATGCCTAGCAGGAAGATGTGCTGGCCGTCACTGTTGGCCACGTTCGTGGGTAGGCCCACCACAGCTTACTCGTGGGTTGTTGGTATGGTGTTTCTCGAGAGAGATGGAACTGCCACGGAAGCAATGATTGCAATGATAACTACTCATGTCCTGCTGAGATCTCAGATCGATCTTGCGGATAATCAACGGAGATGACTTCGATACTAGGAGTGTACTGGCTTTTACATGGGACATATTGACTGATTCTTGTCTCATACCACACATTACTGAAGGCAAATCTACTCGTCAACAATAACTTAGGTCTAACACCGGCCGGGTCTTTTGATAAGCTTCCAATCGATAGTTTACAGTTGTTGGTATGGATCTGAGATAGATCATAGATAGGTATTCTCCAAAACAGGTGCCGGTAAATATGGATTAAATTTAAGTGGTGGCTTCAAATGTTCCAACTGTGGCCATAAGTCTAGAAAGGTCTCGAAGCTCACTCTCTGAAACGATGGCACATAAATAACTTAAGGGCACTTTGTGTAGATATTCATGTTCACATTAATACCAGAAACTCGGCTACCTTTCAACTTTGTACTGAGTCTGATCCATCTCCTCTCAAAGAGTGGTTTATCTTGTGCATCGGCGCTGGGTTGATCAGCCTATTGGTACCGAGAGCCAAATACATGTGTAAGCGGACGGGACTTCTCAAACCCGCCACTCGACTTTCACTAATAAGTCAATAACTAGCCAAGCCCCTCAACACTCTGTCTATGCTTTATGCTTACATGACCTTTGATTAATGCCAAGCAAAGAGTCTTGACAAAGTAGCCAGCACCTCGCCTTTAAATTATGGCGGTCTCAAGTCAGTTGACGTGATTTATTGAGTGTCTCGCACCAAACATCAGCCGAACAACTGCTGGTTCGTCCCAACTCGGAGCCAATTTCGGTCGAGGATCGGCAGTTCCCCGCAGCTCCCTTAGGCGGACCATTGACATTTGTCCGACGCGGCCGTTCAAGAGGGAAGGTGCCTGGTCTGCCGGGGACCGATGCAACGGGCCAAGCCGCTAGGGTGCACGTGTGGTAGCCACTCGGAGACTCGGGCACAAGGGCCTAAGAGGAATAAACTCATGAACCCCGGCCTCGCTAGCAAAGAAGCATACTTTCGCACTCGATTCAAAACACTAGACGGAGGTTCTTCAATATTCTTAGCCGATGGAATCCTCCGAAAGAGGGCAGACAGATCCGGCGTTTGCAGGAGAGCGGCGAGGACCCCCCCTTGCCATTCGGTCCATTCCAGCCGGGGATGCTGCATAGTCTCAAGTAAAGTCGAGCTGACAAGCGCAAGACTTTCCAATGTCGCATCGGCACAACTAAGCTGTAGATTGACTAACCCTTTAGTTCGTCTTGCAGGTATCCCGACTGGCGGAACAATAGCTTTTGTTTCTCTTGGGCTTCTTGGCAAGTATAAAAGATACGAACTTGGGAGTCTCGGCCGAGCTGAGTGGAACCTTGACTTCCACTGCCTTTGAAGCTCATTACCGGGCAGGTAGATGTTATTGTTGAGAGACTTTGGCTCCAGGTTCCCATAAGTAGAGCGTGGTTTGTCCCGGGTTGTTAAGGACATGGTCTTTGATACCTCAGCCTCTCTGCTTTTGCCCTGCCGTCTTGTTTTTGCTTCTTAGGATACCTCTTAGTATACCACCGCCATCAACATCATGAAGTTCACTTCTCTTCTCGCCTCCTTGGCGCTGAGCGCCCTCACCTCCGCCGCCCCCGCTGCCTCTCCCGAGCCTGCCGAGCTCGCGGCCCGCGCCCCTACCCTCTACCTCTGCGGCGACAGCACCATGGCCAGGAGCAGTGACTCCCAGATGGACGGTTGGGGCCAGTACGTCTCAAAGTACCTCAACATCGCCGTCGTCAACCGCGCCATTGGCGGCCGCTCATCCCGTTCCTTCTGGAACGAGGACCGCTTCCAAAACGTCGCCAACGAGGTCAAGGCCGGCGACATTGTCGTCATCGAGTTCGGCCACAACGACGTCGGCTCCCCGCGCTCCAACGATAACGGCCGCTCCGTCTGCGGCGGCGAGGGCACCGAGACGTGCATCTCTGACGTGACGGGCGAGACCGTCTACACCTACGTCTTTTATGTCATCCAGGCCGCCAAGCTCATGACCGCCAAGGGTGCCACCGTCATTCTCAGCTCGCAGACACCCAAGAACCAGTGGGCTACGGGAACCTGGGTCGGCACCCCGTCCCGCTTCGTCGCCATGCAGAAGAAGGCCGCCGCGACCATCAACGACCCGGCCGTCACTTTCGTCGACCACCACCAGGCTGTCAGCAACATGTACCTCAAGCTTGGATCGTCTGCCGTCAAGGCCCTGTACATCAAGGACAACACGCATACTAGCGCGGCTGGTGCTGACCTCAGCTCCCAGGCTTTCGTCCAGGCCATCTACCAGAAGATGAACGGCACGACCAGCCTCGCTGCCCACGTCAAGACACCCATCAAGACCGTCTACTAGTCGGCAGATCGAACTTCATATGCGAGGATAAGGGGAGGTTATGGTGGCGGGACGTATTGTATGGGAGAGTAATGTGGTTGTCTCGTTGAAGAGCTTGGTCTCTGATGACTTGACGGTTCGAAATTCACTGTATATGTTTCAAACAAATTAGCCGAGGCTCTGTAAATAGTCAACAAGCCTTCACATCATTCAAATGCTTTGTTAATGCTATATGTGCTCGACAATCTTCTCAATCCATTATCCCTGCCGAAAAACCTCAAACTCTTTGTTCCTTCCTTGCCCCAGTGTGAAGCTTTGCAGCTGGTCAGTATGACTCGACGTGTACTACAACGTACTTGTAGATGTAGAGAAAGTCTTTAAATCCAAAGGAACGGAAGCCCGGTCGGATTGCATGAGAGACACAGAAATAAGCCTGCTGTACAACTAGTGTAAGCTCTATTCAGGATCCATTCAAAGGCCGCGCGTTGAAAAGAGAATGGCAAGTAAAGCACGCGAAAGAAAGTTCTGAAAGAGAGGACCTGGAATTGGGACTTTCGAGGATAAGCAGCCACCTGGGATGGCTTGGAAGGAGTTGGAAGGAGCAAGCGGTCCCGGCTGTACCTTCCTTACGTGACCACGAGACGGGATGGCTAAGGTATATACCCCCCCTCAGTCCCAATTCTGTCACCAGCACAGCAGGCGCCCTCTAGGTCGGGGGTCAGGTCAAACTGTGGCGTGGATGGTGGAATGGTTCATGGTCAACAATCAATTACGCCCACAGCCTACTCGACGACAGGCTACGAGTACCCGAGTTCGAATCCCAGCATGTGCACCAGAGATGTAGCCCCCAGTTCAGCACTAGGGGGGTGAACTCTTTTGATATTTTTCTTGACCTGATAACATGTATCTACCTAGTAAGGTATCCATCCTGTTGCACGGGCGTAGAAATATTCATAGCCGAAGACGATAATGAACTTCGATCACGTGCTGGTCACCTTACGCGTGCAACTACTTCCATCTTAATACCTTCCCTCGGCGACGTTCTTGTTGCTCGCGGTGAAATAGATTCTCTTCCGTCACCATCGAGCAGTACATACTTCAGGGAAATTGTCCATTGGTCCAGCCTCATGCACCATCATCAGCCTCTTCTTGTCTCATCCTCAAAATCTCGTAAGGTACCATTTCAACAACCTCCACTACCACGAAGACGTCTGAGACTCGAGGTCAAGGCGGATGTGAAGCGAGCCCGATAACGTTCCAAGCACCCGTAGGTGGTAAGGGTTGAGATCGAACCTCAAGGTTGAACGGTGTCCAGTCGACGCGATGAATTGGAGTGGCCCAAACAGCTGTAATGATCGCAGGACTCTAATGAGGCTGATCGCAGACTTGAAACTCCTCACCAATCTTGACGCCCCTTGTGCTTCGCCTCACGAAAGGGAGCGAACCTGACGTACAAGAACACCCGATACATGAGCGACGTCGACAGTGTCCATATCAACATAAAGATCAACCAAAAGAGCATGTCGTGTGCATCGAGCCAAATCAGCTGGTTGCGGATAGACCAAGTAATCCCATAATAGTTGATGACGTCCCAGGGGACAATGGCATGGTGGACAGCGTAGTAGTAGTATAATCCCAGGATGATAGCAACTGCCGAAATGAATCCCATTATGGTGCTGAGGCAGATTAGAGTCATGATGGAAATTGCTTTGCGAGGGGTGTTCGTCTGTGACTCATTGACGATTAGATTCCATGTACGGCTGTCCAGGAGAGGTCGGCGGACACCATTTCCGCCGAAGGGATAAGACTCAGCGGGCGGGTAATTGGTGGAAGTGTAAGTTGCCATTATGGTGGTTACGTTTGTTGTGTGTTTTAGATGTATTGCGGCTTTGACGATGTACCGGTGTGTAGAATGGAGAGTGAGATTGAGGTGTGGTTGAGCAGCTCGTCTAGTGGAAAATTCAAGCACACAGAGAGAAAGTTGTATGATTGTATCAACGTATCTCCGGAAGGTTGATCTAGGGCTAGATCTACCATAAGTGGCTATGGACCTTTACGGTCTAAATCTCCACAAAGTTCGTCGTTTCCTTTTTCCGCGGAAACCTTCGTCAAACGTGACTAACGCCTCGCAGAACTCAAAAAACCTGTAAAGGGTCACATGGAATTAGAACGCGAGGGTGCTCTCTAATTCGCGTATGAGCTGGGATTCGATGATACAGGGGATCGACGGTAGCCATTTCATCGACGAGCATGGCTAATTAGCCGATTTGACTAGCTAAGAGGCGGTGGACTTTCGCCTTTTCCCTATTATCTTCTGGGTGAAGACTTTCGCTACCCTCCTCCCTATTTGCTATCTCAATTACCCTCTTTCTCTTAACTATACAAATTGGCTCACATACACTGACGGCACAGTGAGTGTGTGTGTGTGTGTGTGTGTAAAAGAGAGAGAGAGAGAGAGAGAGAGAGAGAGAGATGGTAATATAAAGTATTCAATTACGGAGCTCATGCCTAAAGGCTAGAAGCGTTCAGTATTAAATATGAACATGTGCCTTCTCAAATTATCGGAACTAAGGAGATATCAACGTCTTTCAGAATGCATACGCCATTGCCGCTACAAACATATGTTCTATACTTCGATTCAAGGTTCTTAGCCTTAAAGAAAATTCAACGTCTCTCAAATTCATCATTGTAGCATTAGGCTGAGACCATAGAGTCACCGGCTGACCAGGGTCCCTCGACGTTGTATAATTGTCTGCTAGCATACTTCTCTATATCCGAGTAGCTGGGGACTTCGTTCTCCTTGCAACCTAGGTGCCTATTTGGTCTTCTATTTGTTCGAAATTGAGAATCATGAAAACCCCTACACTGTTAAGCCTGCATTTGTAAGCTCTGGGTCCTTGAAGAGTAGAGGTTGAGTTGGTGGGGACCACGCCATCCGGCTTTAGTCCTCCCGATGTCGCTCAGCTCCACATAGGCGCCGGACGTTTTCACCCGCTTCACCGTTTTTGTGTATCAACTTCCCGGCACAAGATCTCGGGTGGGCGATTTTGTGTCAACGCTAACTTTGATTGGCCGGAAAACTTCGCCCTGCAGATGTCGATTTGTGTCTTGGAAACAACTCGACTACAGAAGCCTTGGGCTCATACTTGATGTTCGACATTTCGACTACTTAAAAAGCCGTCTTGAGATCGTCCACAGCGAAAGGTGGAAGAGTTTTCTCGTCACCCGCGATATCTTCCGTCAGCACCTTCAGGATGCAAATCGCAAGCCAGGAACCCGATTCGCTTGAACGGGCGCAACCTGTGGAAAGTATGCTTTTGACCGGCCGTTTTTACGCTCGTATCGCGGAAGTACCATTTGCTAATCTGAGAACCTTGACAGCTCTGGACGTAGCCCAAGAGTCCCACAAGTACCCTGAGGGCGGCAAAGATGCATGGCTTGTTGTGGCCGGTGCATGGTGCGCCATGATACCCTCAATGGGCCTGCTTAACACTCTTGCAGTTCTTCAGGCCTGGGTTTCCCAAAACGAACTTCATGGTCTTCCAGAATCAACAATTGGCTGGGTTTTCAGCACTTACGCCTTCTTCCTCTACTTTTGCGGTGCTCAAGTTGGTATGAGAGGCGTCTGGACCAGCTTAAGAGGCTCAAGCTGACAATCCTACAAGGTCCCATATTTGACGCTCGTGATGTGAGGTTCCTGGTGATACCTGGATGCGTAGGGGTTGTGGCGTCTTTGATGCTGATGAGTCTCTGCAAAGGTAAAGGCAACGGTCTTCCCCCCTCAATGTCCAAATGTTAAAACTTCAATATTTTTCAGAGTTCTACCAGTTCTTGCTCACCTTTGGTGTCCTCGGCGGCGTGTCAGCTTCGCTGCTTTTCAATCCGAGCATCGCTGCAATCGGGCACTGGTTCTCGGAACGTCGCGCTCTCGCTACTGGGATAGCCTGCACGGCTGGGGGCGTGGGCGGCGTTGTCTTCCCTCTCATCATTCTTTACATGGCTCCCAAGGTGGGCTTTCCATGGGCCATCAGGACTGTTGGGTTTATCTGTGCTGCCACGTCTGTTTTGGCATGCACGCTCTTGAAGAAGAGACTTCCACCCAGCAAGACATCCAGTGGCGCAATCGACCTCAAGGCGTTGAAAGAGACAAAATTCGGTCTCGCCACGTTGGCCGTATTCCTGATTGAGTTTGCAGTCTTCATCCCTTACACCTACATTTGCTCGTACGCTATCCACGAGGGTATTGATCTCCAGAAGTCTCTCCTCCTGAGTGCTCTACTCAACGCCGGGGCGATCCCAGGCCGTGCTCTACCGGGTTACGTCGCAGACCGATTCGGTCCCTTCAACGTCATGTGCGTTACCGCCTTGGTATGCTCGACTTTCATCTTTGCACTCTGGATGACAGCTCGTGGCGGCGAAGCTGCTACGACCGCCTTTGCGGTTATGTTTGGCTTCTGGTCCGGAGCTGCCATCAGCTTGACGCCCGTCTGCATTGGACAGGTTTGCAGAATAGAAGACTATGGGAAAAGGAGCGGCACAGCGTTCTTTGTCTGCAGTTTTGGCGCCCTCGTCGGTGTACCGTTTGCTGGAGCTATTTTGCAATGGTCAGGCGGCACTTATGATGGCCTCATACTTTTCGCGGGTGGCCTTTACATCTTGTCGTTTTTCGCTTTTGCCGTTGCAAGAGGTGTAGCTGGTGGATGGAATCCAAGGATTTTGCTCTAGACTTGAGTGGGACTCAATTCACTGTTCGAGGCCTTCGAGTATCAGTCGATTAGAATAATACACTTGACCGCCAACTGTAAGATCCTTTGGATGGTGGTAGTTATTTATTCGAGTGTTTGCTGTCAACGTGTGTTTCAGGGAAGGGAGATCAGATATGATGGGGGAAATAGCAGACTGACAGGTCAATTGTAGGTGAAGCCTTGGTGCACCATGGAAAATCGTCCAACTACTGCGTAGGTTTACAACCGAGATTTTTCAAATAAAAGATTGTCACCTGATACCTGGCGATGATTTTTATTAGATGATATCAGGCCTGTCATCCCACTGGCATAATCTTATGATGCCAACGCAAATTGACTCAAGTTGGAAATTATTGTCGTGAACAATATGTCTGCCTCAAAGGCAGAACTCATAATAAACTGTATCGTCAATTATTAGGGGCTGAGTCCCTCGAAAAAGGCTATTGTTGGCGACACTAACCTGCTCGAGTCGTGACCTCGAAGAAAGTTCATCCGAACATTCTGACTATGGAAGCTTGGTTGAAGGAGAGTGCCTTTGTAAAGTGATAATTGTTCAGGCACTTGGGACTCAGGAAGGAACAATGTTGTTTGGTAATTGTTGTGCAACAGCTCTGAGGTAGTCTCATGATAGAATTAAGGCGGACGCAAGATATATTTCCCTAAATGCAGCAACTAATACCTATTTGAGTTGATGTGATACATCACATCCTTCAGCAATTTACAGAAAGCAGCAAAGTTCCAATGCAACATTAAAGACCAGTTCGACAGCTATACGCCAACCTTGAACACCCACAAGAACACCTTGTCTCATGACGTCACCTGAACACATCAGGCAACTCAATCGAGCCCAGGACGATCTGCCGGCGAGATGGGCCGATTGCAGCTAATGCGAGCTTGCGAGCCCCTGCCTCAACCTTGCATATATCCGACCCGCGCGGGAGTACAACTCTGGAGTTCTCAATCATACCTCAACCTTTTCCTAATGGGTTATGCAGGAAAACCAATATAGATGATAAGTTGCCCAACGGAGAAGATCACTGATCTGAAAAGCCGTCAACAACTCCGTGCACACAACAATTTGGGATACACAGCGAATTGCCGCCCACGTTAGGAACATGTAGAGAACACTGTGCTTCTTCCATGCACGGTAACACAGTACGGTATAGTCTAGGCTTTGCCCTTACAGTCAGTTCTCTGGTTCTTAACAGGGCATTGCAACATCGCGTCCGCACCGGACTAGCCGTAGAAGGCATGCTGTTAGTTGTCAATACAACCTCGTACCTTAACCTTTCAACTCCGGACTTACCGACAAATGACAAAACTGGTTTATAGAAGGAGTTATGCTGATCAACGGGTTGTTAACAACTCTTACAAATAGACTTTCAGGGGGTCTTCGGGGCACGCTTCTCATTTGAGTCATGTGGTCTGACTTAAATATGGATAGTTGGGCGGTTCACTGCGGGGATAACGTCGCATGTATACAACTCTACAGTAATTATACATGTGGGAACAAACGGCAATCGCTAGGTATACACGGAGCCGAGCTATGTCACGTGTCTTCGGCACGTGACACACCTCAGCTTCCTCCTTCCATATCACGAGCCTTCGCGTTTAGATACTCTCCTTAAGAACAACAACAGAACACCAGATTAACCCAACGATATTGCTACCGATCGCGATACCAGGAATACCTGTGTGACTAACCTGTGGTACACGCAAACCAACAATACAGTACCTCGGAAGACATAACGTGGTTGATAAGCGAGTGGATCAGACAAGCGAGTGGATCAGCCGACCGCGACCACAGCACATTTGCGACCGATACGCAGCACTAAGAAAAGTAATTCAATTGAAACTATTTAAGATCCTCTTCTTCAGACATTTCTTCAGCAAATTGACATGTTCGTGCATTATGACCAGTGTTCCCACAGACGCCACATCGCCGTTGGCCCGTCTCGGTCCTCGGTCGGCGACCACTACTCCGGCGTGTTTCCTCCTCGATCTGAGCTGTTGCTTCTCTCTGCGACTGAAGGTCCTCAGCCTCAGCTATAGTAAGACTTCCTCCTTGTCTGAGACGTGTTTTCTTAGCCCTCCGGCGCCGGCTTAGTAGGTTGTTTTCCTCACGAAGGATTTTGTTCTCAGACCTTAATAACGCAATCTGGTGCATAAATCCACGCGCCCCCTTTGATAGATGCTCAACAGCTTCAATAATTGAAGTTGGTGAGCTATTCTGATGGCGGGAGATCCTCCTTTTGATGAGTTCAGACTGAGAAGATGCTTCTGTTGGGTTGTTTGGCGTCTGAGAAGTCCACGCAGGGGGTGTTGTTGGGAGGGATCCTGGAGGTGTTGGAGTGTGTAACCTGATATCAAGCTTTGAAAGCACACTTTCGGCACTCAAAGGGACAAGCCCAGCCCCTCTGAAACCTCCCTGAATGTTCTTTTCCGTAATAGCTTGGGCAAAAGCCTCGCGAAACGCAGGGAAGAAGTCTTCCTTTGTAATATGCGTATTACCCCGGCGCATCTTATCCTCAATTTGTCGACCATAAGCCGTCTTTAGTGGCCCAAAGCACCCAACGTCTAAGGGCTGAAGCAGATGAGACGAATGGGCCGGCATACAGAGTGTGACGATATTGTTTTCCTTGCAATATATCTCGAAGTCGGCAGCGTGGTGACTTTCATGCCCATCGACGACGAGGAGGCGATAACTGCCAGTTGCACGCAGTTTTGTATGCCGATCAAAGTGCTGGAGCCAATCTAGGCCTCTTTCGTTTGTTGTCCATCCGTTGTCAGACGTTGCAATGACCCAGTCGCGTGGGAGATTGGTTTCCGTGTACCAGGTGGAGAGGTGATATTGGCCTGCAACGATGATATACGGCGGGACGCTGTAGCCCGACGAACTAATGGCCTGAATGACTGTAACCCATTCACGGTCACTAGGCTGCATCATTTTCGTGTTTGAACGCCTTTCGGCGCTCGTGACGACCATCCCAGATGCAATCTGGCCCATCATAAACCCAGTCTTATCAAAGTTATAGATATCAGAGTCCACAATACCATATTTCGTGATTGTGTTCGCCACAAGGCGAAACCACGCGTTTATGGCGTTTGGATCTTCGCATTGGGCCCTCTTGTAGTCGTACTTGCGAAAAAAGCGCGTCTGGAGCTGTGGTTGTCGCTTGACGAAGTTCGAAGCCCAGCGCTTCCCAACTGGGGGCGCGTTGCGGTCGGCGAGCAGTCGATTAGCCATTTCTTCCACACCTCTAATGCGGGGAGGGAATGATCGGGAATCTAGGTCGAGAATATACTCAACTAGCTTCTCTTCTTCAAGCGTAGTCAAATTCCGCGATCTAGGCATAGTGTCGCGTCGTGATAACTTTCCCCTTAGACGATGGCGTAAGGTTGAGAAGGGTACTGAGTAGATCCGGGATGCCGCTCGGATACTAAGATTTGGTGTCGTTTTGATAGCCTGAACCGCTAAGGTTAGCTGGCCTTCATTACTTTGTGATGACATGCTTGGTTGTGGCGTAACGCCTATGAAGGGTGGAAGATATGTTGGTCGCGGTCGGCTGATCCACTCGCTTGTCTGATCCACTCGCTTATCAACCACGTTAAGCCGAAAACCCTCACTTAGATAACTCTATTCCCGTAAACTGATCGCCATCGGCGATGGGCTCTCGCGCCATTGGCTTGCAATAGTGGCGCATGGAGTGAACCGAAAGCGAAAGTAGAATATCGAACATCGTAAGATCATGGGTATCTACAGCAGTACAGCTAGATGCTACCTTCTAGACTTGATGTAAATGTGTCGTAGGGTATATATGGCGTTAATTGCTGCCCGTAATTAACGGCGTCGTTTTTGCGACAAAATGCAACATGGCAAGTAGGATATAAGCCGTCTAGTTCCCCGCCTTGCAATTCAATGCCCAGCGGTTCATCCCATCTTGACTCTCCACTAGCGCAGCATTGTCAACCTTCTTCGCACATTCTTTCTTGCTCAACAAATCTTAACAATCGCTATCAAAATGAAGTTCGCTGCTGTCCTCCTTCCTCTCATCCCCGCCGCTCTTGCTGGCGAGTGCATCCGCGACAGCGGCTGCCCCGGCTGCGGTCAGGTTGCCAGCGTCAGCTATGTCCAGGACGGAAGCACCTCCACCGCTACGGCCGCCTCCTACGGCTCCGTCACCTTCACCGACACCACCATCACTGTCAAGAACACGTCTAACAAGTGGCTGTTATTCTGCAACTACGGCACGGCCTGTTTCCCCGTCGAGGCCGGCGACACTTGCACCTCGACCCGCCAGTCCTCCGACTCCACCGGTCTCGGCCTTCAAGTGTGGTCCCAGTAAAAAGATAAGTTCTGACCGGCTAAACGATTCTAGCAGTGACTGCCAACTGACACGGAAGCTCAGGGATCTCCAAAACGTGCGTTTGGGATCGGCATGGCAGCATGGCTGAAAGCTTGGATAAACGCGCGGGTCTGACAAACTGACAGGAGTCAGGCGGAGTTGATGGTTCCACGTCCCGCAGTCGTCCCAATTCTCTCGACAGCGCCTGAGATGGTGAGTACGAATACGTGGGTTGGACACTTTGTGCCACCTCCGCACGAAGATTGCTGTCACTGCAATTAGTCTGCAAAATGACTGAGGGCATATTGAAACCAAAAAAAAATATTGAACAACACTTGCATTCTCCTGATAGCTCAAACGATACCTTGCTGCGTGCTCTGTGCTCTGTGCATTGTGATATTTATAGACCATGGCCATTCTCGACGACAGGGTTGATGCTCGTTAAGCTACCCCTTTCCCCTGTCGCGCGATCGGCACCCCTGAGAGGATCTACTTAAGGAGTGACACTATGACCCGGCCTTGTGTTGAAGCTAGACAAGGACACCGAATATGTAGATCAAGTATATACATGTAGAGAAAATATAGAAGAAAATGTTGCCACAGCTGGGTGACGTTGTCAAAGAAATTGGTTTCAGCGAAATAAAAATGTGAACCCTGGTTGTTGGCGTCTGCCCGTTATCGTCGCATCCTCAAGACTGCTTGCGCTCGGTTCATCTCTCGTTTGTTGCTCTCATGGTCGCCTCATGATAAATCCTCAACGTTGAGGAGTACGCTCTGCTTCAAAGGAACAAAGCCTTCTCTTCCGAGTTGCCTCAGCAGCTCAACCGCCCGCGATTGGGGTTGCGAAACAACAGAAAGCTCGCGGTAATGGTGAAAGTTGTCCACGAAATTCTTCTCCGGGAAGTGCGTGCGCAAAATGTCAAGCACGGTGTCAAAGTTGAAGGGCTCAGCCCAAGCAAAGATTCTCTCACTGCGAACGTTGGGGAGCACCGCAGCAGCAACGTGAAGTCGAGCGTTGTCTTCTACGTCGACGAAATACTCTGCAGCCTTCATTAGTATATCAAACAAGCAAGTGTTGAACCTCTCCCCGTGTACTCACGTGGCGGAATACTTGCTAGGCGGTCCATGTGCGTTCCGTTCCATAGACTTTCGATAAAGGATGAAGTTGACGAATGACCCTGATTGGTCGCATCCAGGGCTCTTCCAAAGTTGGTTCCGGGAAGCACTAACATGTCATTAGCCTCACTGAGTCACTGCATCATCCAAAGATTGATAGATGGGCAGATTGCTTACCGGAGCTAACTATCAAGTCATAACGTCGCCTGATGTTCTCGTGATAAAACTTCCACACTGCCATCTCAGCTTCCACCTTACTTGCGGCATGAATATGCCACGCTCGCTGGGGGTGGTACGGAGCCTCCCTCCATGCTATCTCCACCGACTCAGTGTTCCAACTGTCGGAAGTCACCTCAATACCCTTCTTCTCAGGCTGAGGGAGAGCTGCAGCAACAGAAGAACTTGTGAAAATGAACCGCTTCACACTCGTCGCTTTATTGGCGGCCTTGAGCGCATTCAGAGCCACAGTGATACTCCTTGGAATGACGCTCTCGGGGTTTGGGCTGAAAGACACTGGGGAGGCGGCATGGATCACAGCAGACACGCCTATAATGGTGTTGGCCTCTCTGGTGTACAAGTGAGAGCTTCAGCACACTCACCTTCAACAGCAGGGTCAAAAGCGCCCTCCTTCTCCATGTCCGGCAGTGAAACCAACATGAAGTCGCCCTTTGGTTTCTGTCGCTTCAGTGCCTCTGATAGCCATGCGCTTTTCGACACGTCGCGAACCGTTCCGCGGACGTTGAACCCCAGCTGCAGCAGCTCATTGCAGACGTGGGAGCCGATGAAGCCGTTCGCACCCGTCACCAGGACCGTTGAGCCCTTTGGAATGGCGAATTTTCGTTCCGGAGTCATATTGAAAGAATTTGGGGCTGGCGATATTGACTGTCCGTTACAAGAATGACGAGTGCAGAACCACCGTGGCTGTTCGCAGAGCCAAGAAATGTGGCTATTTGTCGAAATGGCTGCGTTGCTGCGCGCGGTGACCGCCAGGCCTCCCGTCGGGTACGAGAACGAAAGCAAGCGGATGGTTTTATAAACTCTAGTGACTTTTCCAGACTTTCTGAATGCATCTTAGGCTCAAAAAAATCTACCCCGCCTTTTTATTTAGACAGAGGTTTCGTGTCTGTCACTTGTGACATTTATCTGGTGGTTTGAAACAGTCTTTTTGCCAGAGACTGTTGTCGTTGAACGCCAAGTGGGACTCCTGGAAAAGGCCCAAGATGACAGAACGGGACCCAGACCCGATGCACCCCTACGACATATCGCGAAATAAAACAACTACTTGCACTGATGGAATAATGCAGTACCGATTTCTTTGCGGATGAGTCGGCATCAGAGAAGTTTTTCATTCCTTTAAAAGTCTCGTCCGAACATTGAGGATTGGTATGGCTGACATTTGGTGTCAAGGGGTTGTAGTCACGCAAGACTTGACATGGGACTCAAACAGTACCAGAAACATGAATTTTCCGACTGTCTACCAGAAACGTTACACGCTGCAAAGTGCGGTTTTTCTCAGCTGCTTTATCCAAGTTTGCGGCCTTCTTTTGTTCGTTTTTTCCACCAAAAGTCACTTGGACAGCTAGATATGCCATATTGCGGCGATCCTCGCCCCCACTTCGTGACAATTACGTGCAACTTACTCTGAAATGACCATGTGTTACAGGGATCTCAAAACCGCCAGTCTGCTTTTGCTAAAGCTATGGATGTTGAAGCAAGAGGCAATTATGTGGCGCTAGTTGGAAGCGAGAATTTGTCATATCTTACTCGAAATACTCCAATTGGCCATTCATACCATCTTCTCCGAAGATGTCAATCGTACGAATACACTCTTCAACTGCCTTGAAGATAAGCCGTTGGATAATGGAACAAAAGCCTGCTTTCATGGTGGACACTCGTAGCTTCCCACACGATCCGAGACCGCCTTGTAAAGGTGGTTTTGTAGGAAAAGAAAGAACCTCTTAAGCTGATTACTCACAAGAGACAGTTGCAGGGGAAGCAGGGAATTCATACGTCATCTACAGAATAGTGCCTTTCTCCGAAATCAAATTGATTGATAAGTCTTTACTATGTACAAGTTGCGGCTCAACTCCCTTAAGGATATATGTCTGATTAGATCAATCCTTGTTCTATGGCTTTGAAGACCCTTTAATGTTGTCGCAGCGCCACACGTGGCGCTGCCGGTTACTGCCGTACGATACCGCTTTCCGCAAGCCGATTACCCGTCTCGTACGGTATATAGATACGACCCTCATACGGGTCTTCCACTTAGAGGAATCAAGCCACTTTCTACTATATATGTCTTCCACTTGCTACCTCGCTTTGTGATAAATGTTACTTACCATAATTCATATCCTCTATTCCTAGTCCAAGTCGGTAAGTTTGCCACGCTACCCATTTGATAATACCTCGTACATTATAGACCCACGTGGAGGGAACCCTGAAATGGTACTCTGCGCACGCGGTAAGAACATCGATTGCTGACTTTGGCACCAACCTGATGACCCTGTCTGCCCGGGTTGAACACCAGACTCATATCCGACGACACATCGTTCGAAGACGACTACATGATTCGTTTGAGCTTGTGCATCATTTAGCAAACCTGGAGCAAAGGACAAGATCATAAGCGGCAAAGCGCCAAGACATCCAGAACAAGGGTAGACACCATGATGAATTCAAGTCGTTTCATGGGTTGGGCAAAGGTAGCGATATCGTATCCCAAGGTCCAAATGCAAAATCTTCAAACACTACGATGCTACGACCTCAAGATAAGGTATGGACGGCATTCGCCGAGATTAATAATTATAACGCCCGGGGCGCTGTCCGGGTACGGGGCAAAACTTCGGTCCCGGATGGGGCCACTCCTCGCTCTCGTATCCCGGCCCGATTGGTCCAAAACATCGGGAAATATGGAGTTACTAGCGACTCGCACCTGATCGGAGGCCGGCGGTACGCAAACGTCAAATGACATTCCACCTTCAAATAGGCAGTTTCCCTTACGTAGAAGAACCTAATCTTGTGCATTACTCGTGTGACAGAATCATTATGTAAGCCGTGTACATTTTGGTGGACTTTTGCGAATCTGCTACGTTGAAAATGATGGCGATGATCTCCCGGTTGAGTGCCGTCGCTTTGCTTTGGCTCCGCGTCTCTCAACACGCTAAACGATGCAATCGCAGAATGGGAATGATGCTCCCGCCAATCAATTTCCATGCACACAATGCCGGACGCGGAAACTCTGGTGCGATCGCGTTCGCCCGCGCTGCGGTCGGTGTTCGAGACTTGGAGACAGCTGCGACTATCCTCAGTCGAGAAGAGCCAATGTTGGCAGAAGAAAACGGGTACATGAGCTAGAGGCCAAATTAGGTATGTTGATTTTTTGTATTGACAGATTTTGACGAAGTAAGAATGATTCGAATGTGGCGGAATTCGGAGACCAATGAATCTCACTGTCTCACACTCACGATCTGGTAGAACAACTCGAGAGGTTGGCAAAGACCGGAGACAACTCTTCTACTTCCGAAAATGACGAAACTCCGCCTCAACAAATCGCCAACGAGAGTGTCGATTTTTCGACAGGGGACTTGCCGCATGCGACAGCATCGACAAGCGGTACTCCAGATCAAAATCAGAACCCAATAGAAGACAAGACGTCTTTCACCGAACTACTCTCCCTGGGGCTTTTCGAGCAATCGCTGTCTCAAGATGTCATCGAGTTTTTGTAAGATTCAAGAACCTTGCCCTATCTACTCATTACTCGTTAATTTGATCCTTTGGAAATAATCACTTTTCTAACTCTTTCCACAGAACAAGGACGTACTTTGATAAGTGGCAACACGCTGTGCCAATGTTGCACCGAACCCGGTACATAATGTCGTTGTACTTGCCGCCTCACATGCAGCCTCCAATGTGCCTACGATACATCGTCATGGCCTCCGGCGCAGAAGTGACCAAAACTCACCGACAGCTAGCCATGCCGTTTTACCATCGCGCCAAGGCATATATAGAAGCCGATGAAATGAGAGTGAGTTGTGCCCCCCCTCCCCATTCCCGAGAACTCAGCGCAAGCTGGCTGGATTGTGGTTTTGACACAACTCAAAAAAAAAACGGTGATGGGCATTACTTTGCCACCGTAGCGCATGCTCAGTGCTGGTCACTGATTGCCAACTTTGAAGCTCAGCAACTATACTTTGCACAAGCTTCAATGAGTCTCTGCCGAGCCATCAGGGTTGCCCAGATGCTCGGCCTTCACCGGGTCGACGGGGAATGCGTCGACGCAATGCCTCTAATTCCGCCGCCGCGGGACTGGTCCGAGGCAGAGGAGAGATGGAGGACGTGGTGAGTGATTTACTGTGCGGATCGGTTGGTCAGCGGTAGCACGGGCTGGCCGGTCATGATCAACCAGCAAGATGTAAGTAAACAGCATCTAAGCGCTAGACCTTGGTTGAGCCACGGAAACATGATAAGAGTGCCTGGTCATTTCGTGCTCATATAGCCTTTTGCAGATTACTACACACCTCCCTGCGTCAGACACAGCTTTCGAAACGGGCGTCGAGGAGCAGGCGAGCCCGCTGACGAGTATCCTCCTCCAAGAAGGCCGGGACTTTTCCGCCTTTGCAGGACGGGTCCTGGCCGCGGCATCCTTCTTCCAGACCTTTCAGCACTCGACGCGAACGCTACCAGACGACGATCTAACCGATCCTCGCACAAGTCGAAACTGGAAACGACACCGTGAGATTTACAACGATCTAGTAGGTCTCCTCGGCGCCCTCCCGGACGACCTCACCCTCCCCAAGAACATCCAATGCCACAACGCCACCTTTGTCAACGCCATCATCCACACGTCGGTCATCTTGCTTCACAGAGCAGCTCTCGCCCGCGTTGAATTTTTGGGGTTGCCGGAGCACATGGCAAAACAGAGCCGGGCGAGGTTGATTTGCGCCGTCGAGGAGATTCTCAACATTTTCCGGATGATGCCCGACATCACGCAGACGCTCAAGAACCCCATGCTGACCTTCTCCATGTACACGGCCTCTCTCGTGTTCCTCGACAACTGGGATACGTCAGCCCAAGACTATCGGCGGCAGGATAACCTGGACTTCATCCTTCGCATCATCATACTGGCTGCCAAGGCGTGGAATAATCCCGTCATGAAGTCGACTACCTTCTTGTGGAGTTACCGTTGAAAACGGTGGAATCGCATGATCCGTGTGGCACAGTTCAGGCAATAGTCTCATTTCTGCAGCGTCATGGAGCGGGACGAACCGCGACTTCCAACAAAGTAATCTAAAAGGTACGTAGCTATTCCGAGCCTGCCCGCCTTCCAAAGTTATTACGAGCCGGAAGAACTGCCCCGGCTAACGAATAGGGTGCTTTTTGGTGGGTTTTGTTCGGAACAGGATGCCGAGTCAGGTACGGATAGGTGCGGATAGCAATGGAGCCATAGCTTAATTTAAGCATGTCCTGCCAAAAGCTCCTTCCCGCCCCCTCCCCCTTGCATGAGAGGAAATGACAAAGACCCTTGGAAGACCCTTGCCCAGCCGCCTCGACCGCCGTTGGCGATTGAAGAATTTACGGACGCACGGCAACATGAGCCGCTTCGTATTCAGTCACTCTGAATCATGGCCGAGATGAGATGTGCATGTGCAAAGGGCGGCTTACTTATATCGGCGAATGTCCTCACCTCGACATGGCTGGCCAGGGAGCCAGTGTCAGCATCAGTGCTAGCTAGCATCAGGCTCAACGACTCGACGGCTCGACATCTCCTGGCTGACACGCAGAACGAGCAAGAGCAGAGAGCCCTTCATCTGACAGCACCTAGTGCTTCCATCCGAAGATTGCTGCAGCATCATATAAATCCATCACCATGGCTTTGCGGCATTCCATCCTCGCCTTGTGCTTTGTTGCCCTGATCGCCCTAGATCACAATTCCGGCCAGACCAATGCCCAATACCTCCAGAACTTCGACCGCATCCGTCTCACAAACCCTGTGTCCAGGACCCAGTACGACGGCTATAGATAGTGAGTCCCTTCCCAGTTTCCCTGCCTCTGCCTTCTATTCGGCAGCATACCCAAGGTAGACAGCCTGCTCACAAATCCTCAGCAAGGGCGTCATTGACAACGGGCTTGCCTGGCGTAATGTTATCGACCTCAGCGAAAAAGAAACTATCTATCTCTACTACAACTGCCACTACATGAACAACATCTGCGACAACGTCAACATCTTCCTGAACTCCTCCCGCGGCCAGAACCTCCACCCGGGCACCACCATCCCCGCTAACCAGTTCACGTATGACTTTGATACCGGTGATGAAAGCTGGACGCACCAGTCCGGCCGCAGGGAAAAGTCTTGTCCCTCAAACTGGGGTATTAACAGGGGCTGCCCCGAGAAGAAGGGCCAGAAGCCGCCTTCCGCCATGACGGCGAATGGTGGACCACGAACATCGAGCCCGCCGGCAAAACACACATGCTTGAACATGAGCGCGACACGTAAGGCAACATTATCAAGAGGTCCGGGATGCGCTACACCTGCGACGAGTTCCCCCCCGCGACTTGGGTCGAGGGTGGCAGCGGCTGGGCTAACAACCAGCCTGCCAACACCCGTTGCGCTGGACATGCCTGCTTCGATCCCTTGGCTCCTGTCGTCAACGGCAAGCGCGTTTCCGTAAAGGCTGAGCAGGACTGGCAGGCTAGGACGCACAAGACGTTGCGTGACGTCCTTCTCGAACGTGCCGCAGTCCACAACAGAGAGTTTGATTGGCACGATCCCCTCAACCCGCAGAGAGATACTGCCTTCTTTCGCTTCGCCGCCATGGACCTCGGGGCTGACGGCATCGCCGCCGTGGTCTTCAAGACCAACGAGATCACTGGCGTGGGTGAAGATCACCGATTAATCCCTCAGGCGAGGAGGCGCGGGCTCAATTCCACCACCAGAGACCAGAACGAAAACCCGAACGAGCCGACGCGCGTGCCCAGGTCAAGGTACGGGCCCAGCTTTAAAGGGGCTCTGAAGCGCATGCGCGCCGGTCATTATCGCGTAGTCGAAAACATTCCGGCCGAATTCAATGACTCCTTCGTGACAACCGAGCCGGCTTTTGGGGACATGGCTGATTCGGGGATGCGGGCTGCTGGCTCGGCCAACCTCAACACCAACAATAAAACGTCGCGGCGCTTCGAGACGCTGAAACGGCAAGGAAAAAAAAGGTGTCGGCAGCTTTTCTTAAGCGCGCAAAGCCTCTACTCAGCGCGGCCTCATCGAGTGATCTCGACAAAGCCCGTGGGATCGTGGAAACTGCCATCGCGGCCTCGGCCAAGCTCAACAAGGCTCGACTGGAAAGCCCGCTGCGCAACCAATACAGGCTCAAGCCCGGTACCGTCATCGGTGGAGCGACTGTGGACGAGAGTCGCAACGCCCGCCGCACTCCTGGCCGAGGCTGAGGCCGAGATGCCCCAGGACGGTATTGCGCCCCCCAGCAGTAATATCACACGCCGCGCCGCCGCTGGCTCGTACTGGATGGAGTCCATCGCCCGCAAAGGCGTCGTTCCCTGGGGTGATGACCCCTCCTATACTGTGTTCCGCAACGTGCTCGACTACGGCGCCACCGGCAACGGCGTGACTGATGATACCGCCGCCATCAAGCGGGCCATGAACGATGGCCGGCGTTGCGGCGAGAAGTGCAACGGATCGACAGTCAAGAACGCCATCGTCTACTTCCCACCCGGAACGTACCTCATCTCCAGCACAGTGCCTCTTCCCTTCGGCACGCAGGTCATCGGCGATGCCATCAACCGCCCAGTGCTGGTCGCCTCCAAGTCCTTCATCGGTCTCGGGGTGCTTTCGACGGACGAGTACACCGGCGGCGGGACTGGTCCCGACGGGCACGACCAGCAGTGGTATGTCAACACGGCCAATTTCTACCGCCAGATCCGCAACGTCATCATCGACGTCCGCCCAGCGCCGCCCTCGGAAGAGGCGGCATGCCTACACTACCAGGTCGCCCAGGCCACCAGTATGCAGAACGTCGAGCTGCGGGCCGGTGCGGGACAGAAGGGCCTCTTCGCCGAAAATGGCAGTGGCGGCGGCATTTCCGACGTCACGTTTGTAGGTGGTGACATCTGTCTATACGGCGGCGAGCAACAGTTCACCGCCCAGCGGCTTGTCTTCAGTGGTTGCGACGTTGGTGTTCAGGTCATTTGGGACTGGGGTTGGGTGTGGAAGTCGATAACCATGACCGGTGTTAAGACAGGCTTCAAGTTTGTGCCTGACTATCCCGACGGCAGCATTGGGTCATCGCTGATTATGGACTCGTCCTTCACAAACGTCGGTACTGTCGTCGTCATTCAGCCGCCGTCATCCGAAGCCGGCTCCGGAAGCACCGGCCTCGTGCTCGAGAACATCGCCATGTCAGGTGTCACCACTGCCGTCGCCGACACTACTGGCCGCTCCCTGCTGGCCGCGTCGACTAGGCTTGACGAGTGGGTGCTGGGCCCCGTATACTCGAGCTCAGCCGCCGCTGGTGCTCGCTCCTTCTCACCTGGCGGCAAAATCGGCAATTACCGCAGAGATAGCGCGCTGCTGGACGCGCAGGGTGCCTGTTATGAGCGCCCCAAGCCGCAATACGAGGGCCGTGGCGTGAGCGACTTCCTCCACGTTAGGGACTTTGGCGCTACGGGCGACGGTGCAACGGACGACACGGCTGCCTTCCAGCTGGCCGTCGATTCCAGCCAGGGCAGCATCTTGTTCGTCGACGCCGGCTCGTATATTCTGACGGGGGCTGTGACAGTACCAGCTGGCGTCAAGATGGTTGGCGAGACGTGGTCGCAGCTCGTGGCCCGAGGCCCAGCCTTTTCCGACGAGAGCAAGCCCACCCCAATGCTCCGGTGGGCCGCCCCGGCCAGATCGGCAATGTCGAGATGTAAGACCTTATCTTCACCACAAAGGGCCCGACAGCTGGCGCCGTGCTCGTTGAGTGGAACATGGCTGCTGACGCAAAAGGGTCGGCGGCCCTCTGGGACTGCCACGTCCGGGTTGGCGGTGCGACGGGCACCGACCTGACGCCCGCTGAGTGCCCGGCTCTGACATCTGGCATCGCCCCGGGCTGCACTGCCGCTAGTCTGATGATGCACATCAAGCCAGGCGCATCGGGATACTTCGAGAATATGTGGCCGTGGGTAGCTGACCATATCATCGATGACCCAGACCTGGAAGACGGCAACAACACCATGGTACAGAACTCGGTCTACGTTGCTCGCGGCCTGCTTGTCGAGAGCACTGAGCCCACATGGCTTTATGGCACGTCGTCGGAGCACGCAGTAATGTACCAATACAACTTTCACAATGCCGCGAGCGTCTTCGCCGCCATGATCCAGACAGAGTCGCCTTACTACCAGCCAACTCCCACCCCGCCTGCTCCCTTCGCCAGCTCCGTCGGCCTCTTTCCCGGCGCCTCAGACTACTCCTGTGCCGCGAGCGATGAGTTTAGCGGTTGCGATGAGTCGTGGGCCGTCGTGATGCGCGGCTGCGAGGACATCGTCATTGCTGGCGCTGGCCTGTACTCGTGGTTTTCGGCCTAATCCCAAGACTGTATCGGTGGGCAGCTATGCCAGAAAGCACTAGTTCTTCTCATGGGGAACCATGCTAGCGTGAGATGGGAGCATCTTGTTACCATCGGCGCCAAGTACACGGCTGTTATGGACGGTAAGGGCATTGCGGCTAAGGATAACCTCAACGTTGATGCACATCCCTTCTGGTCGCATATATCGCTGCTTGACGTTACCAGCGACGGCGAGCAGTACAATGACGTCCTCTGGCTCGACCCGTCCATTTGGGATATGGAACAGCCTGAGTTTTCTTGCGAGCCGCCGTGCCGAGTCAAGATTCCACCATACACAGGCGCGACTACTACCGTCAATTACACGCTCATGACTGTTAGCCAGGACGCGTGGACGAGTACTATCACAGTACGGCCCATGACGCTGTCCAAATTGGGCTTCGAGGTGATGACCATCGGCGGCTCCAACGTGAAGAGGAACGTTGGCGGCCTGAACCGCCGAGCCTTTGAGGACTTTTGGCCCGCTCCCGCTACGACTGCCGCTTGGCCCGTCGTCGTTTACAACGGCCCGGATGGCAAAGAGTCAACGGCGAGCCCTAAGGCCCCCTACCCGACGCAGCCTCCGTCCATCGAGCCCGGCTCGCCATCGCCACAAAGCGGCGCCTGGCCGGCAAAGGCCTTGCGGCCGCGCATGGCTGCCGCCGTGGATCCCAACAAGGAGCTGAACGATAGACTCAAGGACTGGATGTGCCGCCAGGCGGCCGAGTCGCCCAGCTACTACGATATGGACATGCTGGACTGCCCGGGCATGGGCGGGAACAACAACGACTCGGGCGGCCAGATGCCAATGGGCGACGGCACTGGCTGGGATGTCCCCAAGATCTCAAACAACGGTACCATGAGCCTGCCGGGGTTTTTTCCCTGGGGTTCAGTATTGAGTGAGCCCGGGCGCATGTGCGAACTGCCGCAGGAGTCAAAGACCACCACCACCAGGGCGCAGACAACGCAGCCTTCACAGCCTTCACAGCCCACGGCGAAGCCGCTGAAGTAGGCCGATGCCGAACAGAACCATGTGAATTGCTACAGCGGGGGGCGCAAGATGAGCAACATCCGGCTGCAGAATGGCATCAATTCGTTCTGCAAGAACATTGGCTCCGACGTGGGCGTCCAGGCACGCGACCTCGAGGGCAGGGCTACCGGACAGCTCCCGGGCGGCTACAAGAAGGAGTCTATCAAGCCCTTTTCGGGCCAGGAGGAGATTAGCTTCAGCTTCGAGGTGCTCGACGGCTGCTCGTGGACGTTTAACATGGACGAGTGTACGCGGTACTTCAAGACGCCCGTCGATAGCTGTAATTGCGGCGGGGAGAATGGTAAGCAGGGCGGTTATGGGAATAATAACTGCCTTAGGTGGAAGACTGATCCGAATCGCTCGGCGTACTAGTGGTTTGAGGAGGGGGTGTGGAGGAACGACAGCCTCAGAATTTGGGTATTTCTTTGTATTTTCTTGTATTTGTTCTTCTTTTCACTCTAGGCATGTACTTTTCATATTCTTCATATCTGATTCTCTCAGGACGTTGTAGCTGTTTACTTCTTGTATAGCATGTTGAGAGAAAACGAGAGCAGTTCAGATGCTTACCTTGGAATGTGAAAAGGGAATCAGGGGCCACCCAAGAACTAACCCATGAGGAACCACGATGTTGAGGTTTGGCCTCATATCTCAGAGACACGCGAGCCCGAGCGAGAAGTTAGAGAGTCCCTGTCTCTCTCTCACACACACCCGTACACTCACTCTCTTCCACCGTGACACTTGATAGGGGTTATTAACATCAATTATGTGAAGCTAGATTCATCGTAAAGGACAGGGAAATTGAGACACTTGAAGCTTTGCCTAACATACATTGACGCAAGGTGGCGAAAATACCCCCAACAAGTGTACAGCCTCACAGTTGAACCACGAACATGACATCGTACAGTTGGTAACCTCAACCATGTCTTGCGTTACTTAATACACAGAGCCGCATGGCATGGCATGCGACACAGCTCACACATACACGCCGGTGGCTACCATAGCCAACCTCGGGCTCCCTTCTACCGCACCAGCAGGCACCTTCAAGATATGACCAGCGTAAGAGAAACTTGTCTATCGCATCCGGAATCATTGCTAAAGGTTCCCCCCTTCCACCCCCTAGCGCCACCCCCCATCCATTAATGAATCAGTAAAAATCAAGTTTCCCGCGATGTCTCTAAACCAGTAGTTGGATTTGTAATTGCGGGTGGGCACGTCGGCACACCGGGCAGCAAAAGTTGGATAACACAACAAGTAGACATAGCGTTGTTACATGCCATCAAAGTCGCCGCCGAGGTCATCCTCGTCTAGATCTCCCTCCTGGATCTCCTTGGCCATCTCACGCTCGCGTTCGCGCGCCTCCTGGGCATTCTTCAACTCCAAGCGGTGTTGGTTCATGGGGAATCGCATGGCCTAGGACGCGGTACTGTTAGAGTGTGTCTTGACATGGAAACATCTGGAAAACTAACCTTGACGCTCTCGTCGTGGAGAGCCAAGCATGCGCGGATTCTGTCGTGGAAGGCTTCACCGGGCTCCCGCGTAGCGTAGACATCGCCGACCTCCTTGCTCTTCATGTATCCGTGCTCGCGGTCCAGGGTAGCTTCAATGACACCATCGCGGATGGCCTTGGCGACAATGTACTCAGCCGACTCTTCGCTACCGAGGTCGAGGCGGATGCAGATGTCGCGCAGGGAAATGCGAGAGTACGACAGAGACATCATACGGATGCCGGTCTTGATGACGTTCTGGCGCAGGCGGAGAATCAGGCTGTAGGTGCCGTCGCGGCGGAAGGTGTCGGCATGATCCGCAATGATGGTCTCGAAGTTCTGAACCTTGCCGACCCGCACGGCCTGGACAAGGAGGAAGTACGGGTGCAGGGAGAGCTCCAAGGTGGGCTGGCGGAAGGTAGATCTCTCGGGAATGTCGCCCATCAACAATTCAACCACCAACAGAAGCTTGGTCGCCGTCTGCGAGAAGCCCACCGCACAGGCGCTTGAAGGGGCCTTTCTTGTCGCAGCCGTAAGGTGCTCGTGTGCCTCGGTGTATCTCAGCTGAATGGCGCGGATGCGACCGAGGTAGTACAGGAAGCGTGCAACCTGGTTGTTGGCTGCGTTCTCGGGGAACTGGGTGTGGGATACGAGCAAGTCGGCCTGCGCAATATGAGACGTCATCAGATAGCTGCGAAGCAAAAGCACAATGACCGAGGCTTGCGTGTCGATGTCCTTTCGGAGTACGGCAGTCCGCAGGGCAGCCAGGAGGGTGGGTCGAATAGCGACGACCGGAGACTGGGGAGAAGGAGGCTGAGGAGAGAGGCTCTCGCAGAACATTGAGTAGTAGAAGTAGACCTTGGCGGAAAGGGAGTCTAATGTGCGGCGGTTGAGCGTGTGGATACGGTCAGTCAGCTGCTTGGAGAACTCGGCTCCGTGCTGGAACTGCTTGGTGTCGTAGAGGTGGACCTGGATCAGAATGCCGAGGAAGATGTCAATCTCGGGGATGATCTCCTTCCCCTCCTTCTTCTGACCATTCTTCGTCTTGGCAGGCTCGCTGTCTACCTCCATCTCCGGACCGCTGGAGCGGCCGAGGGGCACATTCTCGCGGCCGATGGCGATCAGGAGCTGCTTGGCAGCGTTACCGGAGGAAACGGTCGCGGGGAAGCTCTCGGCAATGGCCTGGGCGATGATGTCGGGTGTCAGGCGCTTGCGGATGGTCGAAATCGATCGCAGGGCTCGGAGAGAGAATCTGGCATCGAAGAGCGCGACTGCGCGGTCCAGCAGAGCGAAATTGCTCTTGATGTCTGTAAAGGCAACATCTGTCAGCTTCCTGGATTGCTCGCGGGGTCATTGAGAGAGTCCGAACTAATCAAACATCACATACCTGCTACAGCCTGCACCACGGGGTCAACCTTGACCTCTGCGTCATCTGCCCCGGCCTCATCGCCCATCGCAACATCACCGTCAGCATCCGCCGGGGGAGCAGCGGCCTTCTTGGATGGGGGAACAACAACAGTCATCTCCTCATCGCCGTCCTTTGCTCCCTTCTTGCCCTTGCTCTTGGAGTCGGCGTCCTTGTTGTTCTTACGGACCCCGTTCTCGAGGGGATCCTTCCCGTTGCGTGAAGGTGTTTTGCCCGGCATTTTTGCTCAACCGAATGTGCGTGGATGTGCTGTAGAGAGTGTGTCGAGTGCTGCTGGGTATGGCAGCAGTCGGATATAATCGTGGAGTCGCGCCCGGGGAGGAGAGTGCGGGCGGGTTGTTTTGCTTAGATATGGCGTCCCGTCAGGTGCTTCGTCTGAAAGCAAGGTATTGAGGGAGGAAAAGTCAGGTGACACAGGTTGAGAAAGCGTCAGGACGAGCGGGAGTCGAGATCAGAGCTCTGTGGGAGTCGGCTTTCGTTGATGGGAATGGGTGGTTGCTGTTTGGCCGTTTGCCTCGTGATGCAGGAAGGTTCGATGGACGAGAGCTCAAAGATTGAATACCTGAGGCTTAGGTTGCTGCTTCCAGGCCCTTGGGGGGGACGACACAGACCGGGCAAGCACCTCACCCACCACACTAGCCGGTGCCGGGTAGCGGGTACAAGGATGTGAACCCGATGCCCGATAGAAACAGCTATCTTTGCGGGGGCTCAGCTATCGTGGCTTGTACCCTCTACCTGATGTTCCTTAGCGAGTGAGATTGCCGGGCCTGCTGGAAGCGTGGAGCAACCCCAACACTGAACGAGGCAAAGGCGGCCACCAGGTCCGAAGCGGGAGTGACGTTGTCGATGCTGCCTGCCTCAGCTGCGTCGTCGCGGTGCCTTTTTTTGTGCCACACTTATGCACGCCGAACTAGAATTATGTAATTATTCAGGGTCCGTCATCTAAGCAACCAAAGCTCCCAATCCCGCCATTGAAGCTACCTTACAACATGGTATACCACATGAGCTGACATTTCGCGCATCCTCCTTAATTTTTGTAGTCAAAATCCCTACCATTTCCTCCGAACATGTAGCACACTCTGCCTTCATCAGAATCCCAATACCGTTTGCGTGTTCGAGGACTTTGCTCAGCTGAATGCAGACTGTTGCATCTGAATCCCTAGCTGTTGTCTTATCGGGTCGGTGGCGTCTCTGCACCACCTGGCCCCAGCTGCGCTACCTCGAATGTGAGGACCTTGCTGACCTACCTCCCTCCTTGTGGCATCATGTCACCGCAAAACTGAGACGGACACACAGAGCACTATTAATGGACTTGTAGTATCAATTTGGGTATACCATAACTATGAAAGCCATGATGGATGATCACCGCAGCGCGAGATGTTGCAAATCAACTAGCAATTACCGCCGTCCCAAACGCCTTTTTCGTGCCTCCCAAACCATACCGTTATGCCTATGAAAACCATCCATTTGCCATCATCTAACCAGCCTTACTCCTGAGAGAAGTCTACTTCTTTGCTGGGAGGAAGTTGACCTCCATATGTGTCGCCATGGACAAGTCCGCCTGCTGATTATCATCATCAACCGAGAACTGCCTGAGGGGAGGACCAGTAGCCTGGGTCGGAGCAGTTCCCGAAGTTGAAGCCTTCTTGGCCGGAGATGCAGTTTTGCGAGACCTCGCCCTGGATAAGGCGGTCTTGGGCGGCGATGTCGCACGCGCCCCGCCGTCTTCTTGATTGAACCGAACGCTCTTTGCCGTGCTTCTCTTAGCAGTGCTTCGCTTTCCAGCGGCAGCTGGCCGCAGTTTCTCGGTGGGCTCGTACTACTCGCCCTTGCCCGAGGTGACCTTGGCCGCTTGGATGGCGCTCATCTTGGTGATCCACGCAGTCGAGGGCTGGATCTTGCGCACGGTGCGAAGCTCATCAGAGGAGTAGCCAGGGACGCGGATGTTGTAGGTGCGTTCCAGGACAAGCTGAATGTCGCGAATCTCGAGAACCTTGGAGCCTCGCTCTTTGGCGTTGCGGCAAGCCGTCTCCAGAACGTTGTCGACAAAGCTGTCTGCCATGGCCAGGACACTCTGCAATGGGGTTAGCAAACGTTTGTCATCATCGGATAGTTAGTAATCTAGTCAACGTACCTCTTCAACTTCGGGAGTCAACATGTTGATCTCTTGACCCTCGGCATTTCCGCCGCAGACCTGTCGCACGAGCTCGTCCAATTTCTTCTTGCTAAGAACGTGATCGCCCTCGGCCTCATGAACGTATGCGGGGATCTTTGAGACCGCGGGCTGGCCCATGACACCTCCAGCTATGCCGCCACCGCCCGTATAAGTAGGACGTCCAGCGCCAGCACCGCCCGCCATCACAACGGGTTGAGGCACGGAAGTAGCCTTTTCCGGGAGCTGCTTAGGGATCGGGAGTTTAGACTGCAGCGTCTGAGTTGGCTGTGTCGGATGCGCGTGTTGT